ACATATGTTGATGACGTCACTTTAATTATCTCTTGACAAATTTCTTTCATTTTCGTCATTTTGGAATGATATTTGTGACCGAATGAAACATCGGATTTTAGATTCGAAAAAAGCTGTAAGCAGTTCGATCTCGATACTGCTATCTTGCGTTTCAACGAGTTTTCTACGATTTTTGGTTCTCGAGATCATAGAGTCACAAAACGACAGAAAAGATGCGTACGATCTCGAGTAAAAAAAAAAAAAAACTCGCGACGGACTACAGAAATGCTTCTGCTTCGCATCGCATTAAAAAAAGTTCAAAGATGAAAATGAATTGAAAATAAAAATGTTGAAATATGTGTGATAATAAATAAATTTCTATTTATAATTCTCCATGATATGCTGTTCGATTGTAATTAGATTTATAACCATGAATTGTACTCATTATTTGTAGAACAATTGTTTCCAGTTTTTTTTTCTGTTTTTTAAATTCATCAGTTTTGGCATTGATATTAGAATCAATCCATTTGATTTGATTGTCAACAGCATTTTGAATCGTTGATGTTTCTTTCGGTGACAATTCTTGAAAGTATCCTTTCTGATTTATTAATTGATTTCTCAATAAATATGTATAACTAAAACAAAGAAAATATTCGAATATGAATTTCGAAGAATATAAAGATAAAACTAACGATTCAAGGTCATTTTTGGCTTCAATTCGTTGTTTAACTAATTTATCTTCATCTGAAAATAATTCGGCAACTTTAATCATTCGATTGATTTCCTCATTTGACAATTGATTTGTTTTTGCATTGATAACAATACTCTTTTTATTTCCTCCCGATTTTTCATGAGCAGTGACCTAAAAAAAATTAATCAAGAAGAAATAAACTTTTCTAGGATCTTGATTGAACACTAACATTAAGAATTCCATTAACATCAATATCGAAAGTAACCTCAATTTCAGGAATACCACGTGGTGCACGTGGAATACCAGTAAGATCAAATTCTCCTAAAAAATGATTATGTTTTGCTAACGGTCGTTCACCTTCAAATATTTTTATTGTAACTATTTGTTGATCATCGGAAACAGTTGTAAAAGGTTTTGCTTTTGTTATTGGAATATGACTATTGCGAGGAATAATATCACTCATAGCTCCATCTTTAACTTCAATACCCATTGTTAATGGGTTAACATCAATGATAACAATCTCATTGTCGATGACACATTCGTCATGTGCAAGTATAGCACCTTGTATAGCAGCACCATAAGCTAAACAGAAAAGATAAACAAACGAATGATTGAAGACAGAATTTTATTTTTGCTCCGTTACCAACAGCTTCATCCGGATTAATTCCACGTGCTGGTTCCATTCCATTAAAGAATTCTTTAAGAATCTGTCGTACCTTCGGTATTCGTGTTGATCCACCAACTAGAAGAACTTCAGCAATATCAGATTTGGTTACATCAGCATCTTTGAGAACATTTTCAACTGGTTTAAGTGTTGAACGAAATAAATCGATATTAAGTTCTTCAAATTTGGCACGTGTTAATATTTCACTAAAATCTTCATTCGGAATAAATGATTCAATTTCAACTCTTGTTTTTTGTTCTGATGATAAAATTCTTTTGGCTTTTTCAACTTCACGACGAAGTTTTTCAATAGCACGAAGATCTTTTCCAGCATCTTTTCCTTTGTTTTTTTTAAATAATTTAATAAAATATTCAATAATACGTTGATCAAAATCTTCACCACCTTAAAAATAAATAATTAATTTTTGTAAAAAAAAAGAAAATAACTCAATCTGTGCCTAAATGTGTGTCACCATTAGTAGCAAGTACTTCAAATACTCCATTATCAAATGCTAGTAATGAAACATCAAATGTTCCACCACCTAAATCATAAACGAGAATATTCTTTGCTTCTTTCCATTTTTTAATTTTATCTAATCCAAAAGCAATAGCTGCAGCTGTTGGTTCATTGATAATTCTTAGAACATTTAAACCAGCAATTGTTCCAGCATCTTTTGTTGCTTGCCGTTGAGCATCATTAAAATAAGCAGGAACTGTTACAACAGCATTTTTAACTTTCTCACCAAGAAATCTTTCCTAAAATAGAATCACTATTGAATAATTATTGCCGAATAAATGTAAAAAAATCTTCTTTACAGCAATGTCACGCATTTTTCCAAGTATCATTGCAGAAACTTCTTCAGGGGTAAATAATTTTTCTCCATAATGAGTATTTAATCTAATTACTGGTTTTCTCTTAATTTCAATGACTGAAAAAGGAAAATGTTTTATATCAGCTTGTACATATGAATCATTAAATTTTCGACCAATAAGCCTTTTAACTTGAAAAACAGTATCTAAACTTATATTCACATTAAGACAAATATCCGAAATAAACAAGAACAAAAAATGTTTACTTTCAGGATTTGATGTAAGTAGATTTTTAGCTGCATCACCAATCAATCGTTGGCCATCAGGTGTAAAAGCAATGCAAGATGGTGTTATTCGATTTCCTTGATCATTTTCAATAATTTCCACATGACAATTTTTAAAAATACCAACACATGAATAAGTTGTACCAAGATCAATACCAATTACTGTTCCAAGATCTTTTTTTGTTTGTTCTGCACTAATACATAAATCAATATTCAAAATAATCAATAAAAGACGAATAATCATCTTTCAATTTGTCAAATTCTTTTCTAGCGTAGTTATCAAATTTGTGATTCGTTAGACTAATCCGTCTATATTGAGTATTTTTTATCGTTCGCTCTGTGTAAGTTCGAATTCGTAAGTATAAGAAGCAATTTGCCATTTACAAGCTTATATTGTGCAAGTATGATGAAATTTTTTGAAAAGAGAGAAAGGAAAGTCGTCATGCGAACAAAAAAATTCTTTTTTTCTCTTCCTACCAGATTTTATGGCCAGGCAAATAGTGTTTATTTCTTAGATGAAAAAATGTTGAATCACAGGGAATGAATCACTATGATTACTTTTTTTTTCTTCAATTCTACTCTTCATGAAGTGTTTATTTCACTTGCCTCCTGATGTTCGCCACATCATATAGGGATCATTTAGTGGAGGAACATAAGGGAAAAGCTTATTGCTAACGTATTTCGAATACTCTAATACATTCGAAGAATGTATTTGCCGAGTTAAACAGGAGCTTTTTATATGTCGTTTGCAAATCAATCAATTCTATCGAGGAGAATAATTTCTAATCTAATATAACTGAAAGCAAAATTTAAACTTATTGTATAAATTGAATGTGGAAAGAAATATTGAATGTCAACTTGTAAGAAGAATAAATGTGAAATAGAGAGAAATATACAACATATGAACAATTTCAGATAAAAACTCGACAATATTGATTGGCAAACAAAAGAAAACTCATTTTCATAAATTTATCTGAGATATGATTATTTGATGAAAATAAACAATTTCTATTGAAGAAATTTCTCATTTAAAATTTTTTTTCTTTAAAAAATGTCAAAAACATTCTTATTCATATAATCATCGCAATGTCATAGCTTTCATACTTTTATTTTCACTTGATACAATATCAATTGATATTCAATGATTATGAAATTCTATAATGTTATTATTTCTCAATGTTAAACTTTTCGAATTAGAAAACGATTTTATTTTGACTCTCCAACAAGGCAAAGGAGATTTATTCGATCATAGAATATATTTAAAATGTCAAAGAACTTCCTTCTTTCTTTCTTTCTCAGCAATGAATGAATTATTGATTCATTTGAAATCTATCTTCACATGTTCACCAGTAATTATTTCAATTAATGAATGAAAGAGCAAATATTTCAACAATATAAATGGATTTACAATTCTTGAAGAATGTTATCTACACAACAGAATTAACAATTTTCGTTATTAATTAAAGAAGGGTGTGAGTGTCGATGTGACCATGGCTCGGCCTTTTCTCACTTATTCTTCATCCACATGTAACGAATGACTAAAAAAGGATGGTAACTCAATAGCGGAATCGAACGGAGCTCCTAGGTATCGGCCAGTAGTAGTTCCCGGTATTCCGGAATTGTATTCGAGGTGATAAATGGAATTGCAGGAATTAGACGGAACTAGTTCCCCAATGTTCAAGATCGTGGAATGGGATGTATTCCCCTAGGCTTTACTCAATCTTCTGGTCACGTCCTCCCTATTAAAAGAACACCTAATTTTGATAACTTTGGCGTTCTTTATAATATGCCTCGAACGTTTTTTATATGTAGTATTAAATTCTAAAGATATCTGATGATGATCGACGTGACACGACATGACCGCGCGCGACACTTCCGCGCAACAGTGATCGTGGGAGCAAAAGTTGAGGGTGAGCTCGAAAATAAGGGTGAAAACGAAAACAAAAGTGAGGGGACGAGTGAGGGTGAAGGTGAGAGTTAGAATGAGGACTTTGCGAGCAAATATTATGCATGAATCTGTATTGCGCCGTAGTGTCGCGCGTGGAAATGTCGTGGAACCGATGATCGAATTAAGCCCTGATCGAAATGCCTCGTGTTCTGCTTCGAATCTATCTAAATTCGAGTATTTAACACACTCGAGCCCTCAAGAAATATTCGTTTAAAGATGCGAATCTCTGTAGAGAATCGATTCAATAATCGCACGTGTTAAAGAAGAACAGAGTTTTTCTGCGGCAAGGAAAAGTGAAGTGAAAAGAATCAAACCTTCAATTGCCGATGCATATCCATGTTACACGAGATAAAATGATAAGTAATAGTATGGACTCTGTCTAAATCAGTATCAGCCTCGTCGACAATTGATAATTGGTGTTTCATGCAATCGCCGTTGATGATCACATCAACTACTTTTTTTAGTAGGATGCAAAAAAAATATACTAATAATAAAGCATGTTCTCGTATTCTGCTCGACTTCAACCTGAGCATACTCGCATCTAAGATATCAACAGTATCAGTCAAGAGTACAAAAACAAATAACGCAAAGGCATTCATTTTCTTTTTTCACCTATACCATGTGTGACATAAAGGCTCTTCTTGTTATTCTGAGTGTGTCTTTGACTAATGCTCTTCCGATTTCACCTATCAACAACAAACTCACGCCGTTCTTTCTTCAACAAGTAAATCTCATCGAATCGCCCCATTCGCCTAGTCTCGACGGACAACTATTAAATCAAGCATATTTGGACCTGTTACCGGTCGATCGTTTACTTTATACTTATTATCAAAATGCAAATATAAGTGTGGAAGGTATTGAGCCATTGGGTGGATGGGAATCACCCTACAGTGATATACGCGGTGTTTTCTTGGCATTTTATCTTCAAGCATCAGCAAAAGCATATCTCGCTTACAATGATACACACCAGTTGGCAAAAGCTTATTACCTAGTCGAACAATTGTATCGTGTACAGCAGATTCTAAATGAATCGGGTTTTCTTGCTGCATGGCCATCGGAACATTTGAGAAAATTAGAGCGCTTAGAAAAAGTATGGGCCCCAATCTATTGCTATGAAAAGCTCTTGCGTGGTCTCTCTGACATGAGCACTCTTACGGGTCTAACTTTAGCCGGTACTATGATGCATGACATGCTCGAATATTTATACGCATGGGTAGATCATTGCATTAAAACATACTCCATCTCTCATTGGCAGGCGATGATATTTAGTACAACAGACTATGAATATGGTGGTATTAGTGATTTTCTTTATGAACAATATGGTCTTACCGGTGATAGACGCTTTTTTTGGATGGGTCAACAATTTGAAGATGGACAGTTTCTTGGAGCACTCTCGCTCAATGCTGACTTTCTCACTGGTTTACATGCTAACTCGCATGTACCACCGGTATTAGGCGGTGGTCGGCGCTATGCAGTTACTGGCGAGCCAGAATATCGAGCGATTCTTGAAAATTTCTATTCGATTGTGTGGAAAAATCATACCTATTCGACCGGCGGCTCGAATGGTGGTAATGGTTCGGTTGGATTCTATCAGCAAGAACATTATAGCGATGCAAATCTTTTATCACAAACTCTTTGGAATAATAATCAAGAGTTTTGTGTTCAGTACAATATGTTAAAGGTAATTCGAGTACTGATCGAATGGACTGGTGATGTAGAATATGCGAATGCTTACGAACGAGTATTTGTCAACAGTATTTGGGGTACACAAGATCCAAGTGAACCCGGTCATATGCTGTACAGTTATCCATTGGGAGCAAATGTTAGTAAACCGACTTCTGTGGGCGGAGGGATAGGTTTCGGTTCTCAGTTCGATAGTTTCTGGTGTTGTTACACTACAGCCATTGATCAATGGACGAAAATGAGTGATTCAATCTATTTCTTCGATAATCAGAGCGGAGTAGCGTCGGTCTATGTTAATATGTTTGTTGCCTCAGATCTCAATTGGTATGCACAAGAACATGTATTGATTCGTCAGATGACCGCTTTTCCTCGAGAAACAACAACAATTTTTACATTAACTACATCAATCGATGCCGTTGCATTGAATATATATCTTCGTGTACCATCTTGGATTGTATCTGATGAGTCCTGGATTGAGATCAATGATATACGACAACATATCGAACTGATACCTTCGACGTATGTGTTACTTCCTATTACTCAATGGAAGACGAACGATCGTATTGTATACAATATGGCTATGCGACTGCATGCTGAGCCGATCAATGATAATCCAAATTTGGTATCCATTCTATTTGGACCCATTGTTCTTGGCGGTTTGACTGCAAACGCAAAGTCATTGCCGCGTGATATGAACCTTATTCGAAAAATATATACTACAATCCAAGAACCCATTCAATTCGAAGCAACAGCCCTCGATAACTCTACTTTCCGATTGTTACCTCTCTACGAGATTGTCAATCAGACATATACAGTTTATTTTCCAGTCGGCTAAATATTGATCGTAAAACTTTGTAAAAAATATTTTGGACAATTATATGTCAGCCGCGAACTAGCCTATTCAATCGATGATTTCAGACTTCGCACTTCCTTTTACATATGTTATGAGGGCAACAATTTGATAAATAAATTTGCATCCCTATTAATATCATTCCATATCACAAAACCAAGAGCCTGAAGTTTTTAAATACCGTTTGAGTCTTGATGGGATCTTTCAATATTTCCTAGGAGTACATTGACATCATTTTGTCAAAACTAGTCACAATGATGTGCAATTTTCTGTCAGTGTTAAAATGCCGTGTTTTCAGTGAAGTTAGTTTTAGACATTTCAAAACTTTTCTAGAATTCAAGCTGAACTCAAACAAAGGTACAAGTTCTTGATTTGGGCTTTGATGGTTGAGACAAAGATACCGGATTTTTCATTGTTTCTTGTTGGCTAGTTGATAAATTAAGAAGAGCATTTTTGCATCGATTAAATATGTACTCTTCAAGGTGTTCATCTGGATAATTCGTAGCATATCGTTTCTCATATTTAATAAATTCCTTTTTCGAATCGGTACGTAGCCTGATTGAATATTCAACCATCTCGGCGACTGATTGAAAATCGTAGAAGTTTTCCAGTGTCAGGAACTTTGCAACTACTAAACCATGTATGAATATCATCAACGCTCCAATCTTTGGGAGGCCTTTTCACGTTTATACGAGTACTCGGCTTGATTATTTTAGCTGCTTCTGAAGATTGTATCGGTGTAGTGTGTTGTTCAGTGTCTTTTTTTGCAGCGGCTGTGTTTGTGGTATTTTAATCGTACCTTGAATTGTTTTCAAAAGTTCTTGGATTTTACCATCGTGAAGCATTCCACTGCTATTTTTAAATCGAACATATTTTAACTCACCAATGTGAATATCTGAATTTTTTTTTGTAAAAATTGATTTGCTGCATTGTAAAATGGAAGAGAATCTACTAGTCATAGATAGCACTGATATCAGCGACTCGTCGCTGATTTAACTACTGTTCAGCAGTAACCGTCTACAGAATGAAATCCCAAGCCTAACATAAAATCGAAACCATAGTCACGATTATAATTTCTATCATCTGACTATCTTCAAAATGCTAATACTCCTTCATCTGTCATAGATAGTATCATTGAAATACCTTTTATGAGTCAATATTTAATAGGATAAACTATGCTATTGTACGAAATAAGTATCTGAGATTTATCTAAAACTTTTCAGAGGGTGAGAATATTAAAATACGGAGAACAACAAACCAAAATCGCATACCGAGCCAATCACATTCACCTGGTGTACCAATATAGTCAGGAAGGATCGACTTGTTACGGCGTACTGCAACCTTAACTTCTTTTCGACAGGATTTACTATTGTAATATTCTTGCGAAAGGACACATAGAATAAGATTCGATTACTTGATTCCAAGAGCGATTTTTCCCAAATATCTTCATTGGTCGAAAAATGGTCTCTATTGATCCAAATTCGAAAAAGATTTCTTTTTCTCTGGCGCTGGGCAAGAATTTTATCATAAAACTGATTATTTGCATGAACATAGCTAATCATAACCATTGACTGTTCGCCTCCTGTATCAGAGATTAATCGATTATCAGTAATATCAACTTTTTTACTATCTCATATTTCATTAAGGTTGTAGAGAATACCATAAGCAGCGTTTGTTATATTTCCCATTGAACTTGAAACATATCCATCGACTACGTTGCCATTATCATCCGTAGCTAAACTATTAATGATGTTCAATAAATTCTTATTGTGCTGTGCATGCAAATTGCTGCAGCTGCTTATTATCTGCTGTGAATGCATCTCGAAATTTGATGTGCAAATCGACGAAACAATTAATTTTTGGCTCTGGGTCAATTTGCGGATCAGTTTTTGCATGACTTAGAACATAGTCAAGTGATTTTTCATCTAGAAATAATTTTGTCAGCACAGCTAAAGGTTCATATATATGAAAACCATATGTAGTTTGATGATCTACCGACTAAAAGAAAAGGCAATTATATTTTCATTATTGAAATTTATAACAATTATCTTAACATGTCTTAAAAGTAGAAGTAACCTGTTTCGTATACTATTTATTGGTAGAAACCCTTCATATTATATTCTTTCATTTTCAAGTAAATTAGTATTTTATTATCTTCTGAGCACTACGTTAAACTACGATGGCGGCACATTTACTGCTCGACCAACGATCTATTTTCTTGATTACTGAACTATTTAAGATTCTTTAAATTTCGAAGAAAACTATTTCTTTGAAGAGAGATAAGAGATTATTGTCCTAATATGTTTTCTTTGTAGAGCTTACTTCGGCAGCTTCTATAGTGATTTGTAATAAACGATTAAGAATTGCGTTCATTTGTTTATTATTTGAGCGGATTTACTTGGGTATAGACGGAAGAGCAATCGTCATTGATGCTTTGATCGTTTAATTTTTCACTATTATCACTTGGAATATTTTTAAGAATCTCAAGACTAACGAATTATTTTAGTTCATCACTGCCTTCATCATGTCGAGATATATTGTAAATAATGCAGAGAATTTGTTCGCTTGTTTAGGGAGAAGTGCCTACTATTTTCAAGCATTCTAATAAACTTTTGACCAGACCAATACCCAGAAACCATGGAACAATATTTATTCGATCAGAGAGAAAACAAAAGAATATTAAAATAAAATCTGTTGTGATAGTATCAGACACTGTTCGTTGTTCCGCATCAATATTCAGGTGTAGATTCCGTTGCACTTGCTTATACACGGCAGTGAATGCATTCTTATACTTGCGTGTGTTACTATCATCCTTCGTAAATGAAACAATCGTAACCTTTTTAGTCGCTAAATTCATTAGGAGATTGGTTATACATTTACAAGCTTCTGTTGGTGGTATTTTTGTGTGTTGATCATTATTCAAGTGCGAACAAAGTTTTAGTTTAGAAAGTAGATCGAGTAATGCGAAGAAAATTTTGCGTATGAGAGACATTTCATTGTCGACGCAAATCAATGTTTGAAAAGCAGATTCAACATGACGAAATAATTCGAGACAATTTTAGATGCTATTCATTTATTTTATCATAATGATCACTTTCATTTTTTCTTTGTAGAGATGCGAGAATAGAAAAAAAGAGATGAGAACATATTTGAAACAACTTTGAAAATCTTTGATGTGAGTAAAAGTAGCTCTCTCGATAGTGCCAATCAATTCGTTACATAATGATGAAGTTTGATGAATAAGATCTTGATGATTATTATCATTCACTTAAACTTGTTCAAGTTTACTTAGCAATTGCTCTAACGCTGGATCGAATTCCACTATTTGCTTAGTTGTTTCCAAAGACATCCCATCCACAAATTTCTGAAATACTTGAATAACTTCTTCCATAATGACGTCTTCATCATTTTTTGTATTATTTGATGAAGAAATTGTACTGATTCAACTGCTATCCATGCAGCAAAACTGAATCTATAGTTGACAGCTATTCATTTAATATGTTTCTATAGTATGATAGAGAATTTTGTAGCCATGTTACACGTGAGCAAACATAATTTTGTGTTGCTTACTCGTGAAAGACTGCTTCTTGTGTTTGACTGTAAACAAAAAAGACAATTCTAACTCATATTTTTCCAATGATTACTAGGTGTCCCACTTTTACTTTCCTTTCCTTAGAAAAGGAAAAGAAAGCTATTGTTTTGTTGCGTCTCGAGTGTCGCTCTTATTGTTCGTATATCTCACTCTCTAGGCTATCGTTCATTTTGTGTTATTCTTCTCACTTGTTCCGTCGTTCTGGGGTATATTTTGCGAGCACCCTCCAGGCCTACCTCGTCATCGTAAGTTTAGAAAAAGTCAATCTTAGTCTTAGAGTTTGATCGAAATATATTCTCGACAGTATTATGTGCACCTAAATGCCACCATGGTACGGATCTCTGTATTAGCTCAGATTTCATTTTGATGAATTTATGTGCTCTCACGATCACCCTGTTTTAATGAAAGCGGCACTTTTCCTGCATGACTCTTAGCGATTCGGATGGTATTGAAGCCTTGAGCTCCCTCTACGACAGTTAAATGTTACATGCGAATCTTTCTAGTGTAATTTCTACAAGGGAGAAAATGGGAAACTTCTGGAGTACGTACTCCAATCGAAATCAACGAGACTTTAAAGCGCGGGCATGTAATTTCCAATTTTTCTGGGCTAAGTTTCGGTTTGCTTATCCCCGTAATAGTGGAAATTGATAAATATAGGAGGCGAAAGGAAAGGAGCAAATGAATCATGTTGGATATAGACAACTTTATAAAATTGAGATGGCCGAAAACGTGAAAGAAATATAAAGCAACTCTTTAGCAATACATGAAGGCGATTGATGGGTGAAGTATGTCAAAAGTATAAGCTGATATGAAATATATAGAGGTTCACCAAATTTATGCTTCTGGGAAAAGATAAATAAGGGTTTTTACGAAAAATAGTACAAAAAAGTCGAGAGCAAAATTATTTTTTTGAACGGATAAGAGCAATAATGAGGATATGCTAAGTTATATTACTCAAGTCTGCTATAAGGTACTTTGAAAAAACACATTTCAAAGAAAAAACCTTTGATATTTTCATCAAAAGGAAAGAAACGAAAATCTAATGGAACCATACTCTTGTTCCATCCCATTCGGAGCCCTGAAAGATATTGCTTTGTTTCGTGCTATGACTTGTCCTCGAAAGTTTTAATCATTGTAATTAATGACACAAGAATAAATTCTGATAAAGTTCCTCCTAATATCAACAATTCGACAGTAAGTCTTCTCCAATCTTTATGTACTGATGGCGTATATTAATGGGACATACTTTTTCACCCTTTATTTTTCTACGAGATTTTTTCTGTTAGCAGTGTCTATCCACAATGATGGCATTTTAGCATCTTCACATTAACACCTACGTCCTCAACCTCACATCACGAATCAAAAGCTGAACAAATATCATGCTCATGCCATCCTTAGAAAGCATAGTGTATCAATTTACAGTTATTCTAGGAGAGAAATATTTTCGAAACTACTTTTAGAACCATTGATTTAAAGAATGTAAACCAGCACTTTATTGTTTAACTCACTAACTCTATCTACCCATATAAAAAAAATCGCTGACCAATAGGATTTTGCTCAAGCCGAAACGAAAAACATAAAAGAAAAAAATAGCGTTGCATTAGTACGCCTTCATTTTTACATTCAAACTGTCATCTTGCAAATAAATAAGAGAAAGAAAAAAAGATTTTTCTTCAGACGAAAATAATGCTTGTTCTTTCATGAATTTTTCTGTTGGAAACACGCTATTGTACATTAGTAATCATGAGCCATGTTCACTTCTAATGGTTAAGATTTTTCGTCGTCTGGCAATATTTTGCAAAAATAATTCATCTCTTTTCAGCACAATTTTGCTTTGAAATGGAGCAAATTTACAACATGCTTTTATACTCAATGGAATCAAGATTTGATACTCAATACTACGTATGTTTCCATCATATAAACTTCGTCGATGGCTTTCCTTTAATCTGAATAGGCCATAGTAGGAACACATAGTTTTTGGCAGCACCAAATTGTACGCATTTAATACTGATTCTCTCTTCTTTTTAGTCTCTGCCATGAGCCATTTAGTTTTCATTTTTTTCTAAAATAATTGTTGCCATAGGGTAAAAGACCCACAACAATATAGTTATCGATGGAGAGGGAATTCAATCCTCGCCAATACTCATACGAAAGTTCACACTTACACAGCGCGCCAGCATGCATATAAATGCGCACGCACACCCTCAACCAATCTGCAAGATAATCCTATTATCTCTGTGAGTAAAGTCCTTTTTATTATTAACAGATACTGCTTGAAATTCTCTACAATACCATACAGGACTAGTCTAAAATAGTTTTAGATATATCTGCAGAAAATGGCATTCGATTCAATTAAGCATATTGACACTGGTGGTAAATACGCTGAATTAACTATTACAAAAAGCACAAGTTACCTTGACTGCTAGCGTCGGCATATCCTTCTCGAATCTCTATGATTGATGTTCTCGAGCATAGATACAGTGCTTGTGTGTCAATTAACTTTGCATTTACTTGTATATCGTTTAGATGAAAAAAATTGCTTCGATAGCTTGACATCATATTATTACTCTTATTATTCTTTTGTTCCCGATATAATCAAAAATAGTCCATACAATTAGAAGGTCCTAAAATAAACAGTTCTTTTACTGTTTGCTTTATGTCTGATGTTATTTGTTCTCGGATTAGAACACTATATGTGAAATTTTTAAGCTTTTATTAAGAATGGGGACCTGAGAACAACATCAACAATTATTCGTTTCTGGCATGATGTTAAATTGTTGAATTCGATTATTTCTTTTCTCGCTTGTAAACAAATCTCCTTCCTTGTCAAGTCCTATACTAAAAACATCCGCGAATGGACCACGACCAATCATTGGTGTATCTCCAGTTGCTAATTGAACACCAACCGTTGAATTTGGACCCCATTTCACAATTCGGCTATTGTCGGTATCGGCAACGTATATATTACCATACTGATCGACTTCAACGTCCCACGGACTATTCAGCTGGTTGCCAGCTACCCCTTTCCCGTTTCCTCCAGCTACAGTGATGCCTTGCGTTGCATTTTTTTCCCATTTTTGTATTCTGTTGTTCCATAAATCTGCAATATAGATTGTCTCACATTTGTCTATAAAGATACCACGTGGTCCACTGAGTTGATCTGCCTTTGGACCTCCAGTACCGGTGCCTGCTACGATTATACCTTCTCCTTTCTCTGGAATCCATTTCACAATACGATCATTGTAAAAGTCCGATATAAATAATGCGTTGGTTTCTTCATGAACAAAAAGACCTTGACAAACACCTATCTGATTCAGAGCGGTACCTTTGCCATTACCCCCAGCTACGGTAACACCACTCGTTGCACCTTTTGCCCACATTTGAATACGGGAATTATCGGTATCGGATATGTATACATTTTCATTTTTATCGACATAAACAGCTGACGGCCAACTTAATTGATTCGATGCATTGCCGGCGTTATTTCCACCTGCAACAGTAACTCCGAGGCTGCCCACAGCTTTAAAATTGAACTTCTGAATTCGATGATTTTCAGTTTCAGCAACATACACATAGCCATGTTCACCGTCAACAAATATGCCAAATGGTGAGCCTACATGACTAGCATCAGATCCGAATTCTCTGTCGATACCAACAATGGTAGTGCCTCCTGTTGCCCATCGCGTTGTTTCACGACAGTTCTTTGGATTTTTATTGCTACAATCAGTAGAAGCTAAACAAAAACAAAACTAATCAATAGAGTATATCATAGAATATTCTAATAATAGATTTCAATGTCGAAAGTAAAGTAAATTAATTGATTTAAAAATAAAATTCAAAACATGAATCGACATACGAGCAGGAGTATTCCAATCGCATATTTGATCTTGCTGATTCCAAACTAATGAAGCTGGACATTGCATCAAAAATGGGGTACCATGTGCACATTGATAATAGGAATGTTTGTCTGCTGGATTGACAAAGTGACCATCGCCCGGACATTGAAAAACACTCGTCACTGAATTTAGTGACGCACAGATAAATACAAGTATGAACTTCATTGCCATCAATAGTTCTATGCTGTCTGAGAAAAAGAAGCAAGCGAGCGCAAAGCCTTTATTTTTGCTGCCATGATATAGACTAGAAAACAAAACTTGCACCTGGTTTACTTCTCAAATGACAAAATCAATTGTAAGGATGGTGCGAATGCATTTTGTTTTTCTGTTCGAAGCATCAATCGGTGCAAATAAAATAAAAACAGACTATCCCATATATTGATAGATACATCCGTCACATCAACGTTTCTTATTAGTGCCAAAGATTATTTTTATATTCATCATAATTGAATTCGAGATTGACGAATATATGCCAGATCATCATTATCAATAGTGTTCTCTATTTCCTTTGGGTGCAATGAAACACTATGCCCATAGTTAGCATCGATAACGCTGACAAAACGATAAATATACATGTGTCATAGAGATATGTCAAGTTTTTCCTCATGAACACTCAAATGTATTATCAGAAAAACTAGATATATCAATAGTTTCAACTTTCCTAACTTATTTCTCAGAAAATAAAGAATCTCAGTAGATAATATATTTTCTAGTGTCAGAAAACAGCACTTTCAAGATTCTTGTATAGGTACAAGAACAAATATTAACATTCTGCGTCATATTCATTATACAAGTACGACATCTACGAAGGCAACGTTCCGTTCTCTCATTTTAGTAATGAATGTTGGATTAATTTATGATGAACGTATATTATTTTCCAATCCATCTATTCTCTCAAGCGATAAAAAAAAATCTGAGTGAACTTTTGCAGCGAAATTCTCTTAATTGGAGTAAACGTTCGTTAGGTGGAGGAGTGATTCTTATTTTTTCATTTGTTTATTACTTATCGGTGATTCTTGATATGCCAATAAATGTCTAGCCTCTTATAGTAGATCAATGAAGTGTACATTACATCATCTTTAAAAAGGACATCTCTATTATAGTTTCAGATCATTCACAAAAATGTTTGTTCGTCAAAGAGTTTTCAATACATGCTTAAAACATTTAACACCAGGCTTTAGCCATGAACAATCTTCAATAGTTCGAGTATGATGCTTTTTTACTCCCTCTTTCTGTTGCTATTTCATCGAATTTCTTTTAGGCAACAATTCAAGGACAAAGTTTTCGTCATAAAAGGTAAATTCTTCTGAACATCTCTCGTAAGAATTATCTGTAATAATATATTTATCAATAGCGATTCGAAAGATGTGTCAAATGCTAGCGGTGGTAAAGTCAAAGGTCATATTATTGGCATTGATTTAGGTACAACAAATTCATGTGTTGCTATTATGGAAGGCAAATCACCTAAAGTACTCGAAAATGCTGAAGGTATATTAATAAATTCATGATAATAGATAAAAATTCATCAAACAAAATCTTCATAGGTATGCGAACAACACCATCAGTAGTTGCTTTTACCAAAGATAATGAACGTATTGTTGGTGCGCCTGCTAAACGCCAGGCGGTTACAAATCCACAAAATACATTCTATGCAACCAAACGTCTTATCGGAAGAAAATTCAATGATGACGAAGTTAAAAAAGAAATGTAAAGATATTTTTGTTGACATAAAACAATTTTTCTATTTCACACAATTAGGCAAAGTGTATCCTTTAAAGTTGTTCGCGCAACAAATGGTGATGCATGGGTTGAAGCCAATGGTAAAATGTATTCTCCTAGTCAAATTGGTGCTTTTGTTCTAATGAAAATGAAAGAAACAGCTGAAAGCTATTATGGCTCAACGGTTAAAAATGCTGTTGTTACTGTGCCTGCTTATTTCAATGATTCACAACGACAAGTAATTAAAATCATGGTTTTTATTATTATATCGGAATGAATCGATTTCTATAGGCAACTAAAGATGCAGGTCAAATATCAGGTTTAAATGTACTTCGAGTAGTTAATGAACCAACAGCAGCTGCACTTGCTTATGGTCTTGAAAAAACGAATGATAAAATGTAAAGAAAACACATCAATTTCTTATGATAACATAATATTTTATTTGATTTAGAATTGCTGTATATGACCTCGGTGGTGGTACTTTTGATATTTCAATTCTTGAAATGCAATCAAATGTATTCGAAGTACGTTCAACAAATGGTGATACATTTTTAGGTGGCGAAGATTTTGATAATGTATTACTTAAACATCTTGTTGCTGAATTTAAAAAAGAAGTAGGTTTTGGAGACCTTTTTTCGATATTTCTTTGATCAAAATTTGTTTTTAATTTAAGAGTGGCATTGATATAACAAAAGATCCACAAGCTATGCAACGTTTAAGAGAAGCCTCAGAGAAAGCCAAATGTGAATTATCATCGGCAGCACAAGTAAAAAGAGAAATATTTTCGTTTTTAGCTTTGATTTGCATTTTTCTCTTTGTTCTATAGACGGACATTAATTTACCTTATTTAACAATGGATAAATCTGGTCCGAAACATATGAATGCAAAAATAACACGTTCTCAATTTGAAAATCTTGTTGCGCATTTAATTAAGCGAACCATCGGTAAGAAACGAAAGGATTTTTCTTTTGGAATAAAAAGTCTATCGAAATTATATTTTAGATCCATGTAAAAAGGCTATTAAAGATGCCGATGTTAAACTAGCCGATATTAATGAAGTCATTCTTGTTGGCGGTATGAGTCGAATGCCTAAAGTAAGAAGAATAAGTTGTAAATGGTAGCAATTTATATCAAAATGATTATTCTTCCGTTTTATTTAGGTACAACAAACTGTTCAAGAACTCTTTGGTAAAGCACCAAATAAATCTGTTAATCCCGATGAAGCTGTTGCTATGGGTGCTGCTATTCAAGTAAATTGATTATTTTTGTTTTTATTTTAGTTTTACTTTTAATTCACCACATAAACTTTAGGGCGGTGTACTTGGTGGTGATGTTACGGATCTACTTCTTCTTGATGTTACTCCACTTTCATTGGGCATTGAAACATTAGGTGGTGTATTTACAAAACTTATTAATCGTAATACAACAATTCCAACAAAGAAGAGCCAAGTAAAGTTTCGTTTACACAAGAAAACTATTGAAATCGAAGGAAAATTTGCTGCTCTAGGTATTTTCAACAGCTGCCGACGGTCAAACACAAGTTGAAATAAAAGTACATCAAGGTGAACGTGAAATGGCTGCCGATAATAAAATGCTCGGAAGATTTAATTTAGTACGGTTAAATTTTGTCGATTAGAAATTTATTTTTACAATTTGTGGTTTTTTCTTATAGATTGGCATTCCACCTGCTCCGCGTGGGTAAGTAAATTAGATTTGAAAGAAATAAGAGCTAATTTATTTTCTTTAGTGTTCCACAAATCGAAGTCACATTTGATATTGATGCTAATGGTATTGTTCATGTCTCTGCACGTGATCGTGGCACCGGAAAAGAACAACAAAGTAAGACCGATTGATTATTATAAAAAAAAAGTTCTAATCGAGCAAATTTTTTCGTCTATAAAATAGTTGTTATTCAATCCAGTGGTGGTTTGAATAAGGATGAAATCGAAAATATGGTGCGTGCTGCTGAAAAATACTCTGCGGATGATAAGAAACGACGTGAAATGGTCGAAGAAGTCAATCGTGTTGAATCAATTTTACATGATACAGAATCAAAAATGGAAGAATATAAAGATCAATTACCATCGGATGAAGTACGAAGATTTTTATTGATTTATTCAAGAAAAGTTCATCTATTTAATGTTTCTTTTTTTTTTGTAGTATTCAAAATTAAAAGAAGGCGCTTCGAAATTACGCGAAAAATTATCGAATAAAGATAATCAATCAGTTGAAAGTATAAAAGAAACGGCTGATGAATTTCAACGACAAAGTTTGAAATTATTCGAAACTGCTTATAAAAAAGTATGAATTCAAAGTTTTTCTTTGCCTATGTTTGTCTACATATTGAATTTTAGATGCAATCTGATCGTGAAAGTTCTCAATCATCATCATCGTCATCATCATCATCATCTGAACAACAATCTGATGAAGATAAAGACAAACAAGATTCCAAGAACAAATAGAGATTTTCAATCACGATTTGTTTTTTTTTCTTCTCTTTATAATCGTTTGATTGTTTTTCTATAGTTATGCTTTATAATTTAAATAAAAACAAAATCACACAAAGAAATTATCTCAAGTACTCATTAGCACCTAGAATACGGTCTCTATAATTTGTTAAAGAATAGGAGACAAGTATGCAGTAGTTTAATTCTACATTTTTAGTATGGATAAGTAGGAAAGTTTTTCATCAGCCGCATAAGGGGGCATAGCTCAGTGGTAGAGCGATCGCTTCGCATGCGATAGGTCGTGAGTTCAATCCCCACTGCCTCCATTTTTTTTATTATGCGTTAACATTGACTGATGAATTTTTTGATGTGTAAGAATGAAATTTTCTTAATCATTTGTAAATACAAAATGAAAGGGAAGAATAGATTTTATTTGATAAAAAAAAACTAAAGGGTGACAGTCAAGCGTCAATATGATTATATTCCCAATCTGTAAGCATTTTCCATGGTCGTCCAAATAATATCGATAAAGCATCTTCTACATGATCGTATTTTCGGCAATTTTTTTCCAACCATGAATGTATTTGTTCATTATTATCATCGCGTTCATTAAATACATATTGACGATATTCATTTCGTAAAATAACGCAATTGCGTCGCAGATAAAAATGTTTAAGATTATGTTTTGTACCATAATAGGCTATGAGAAGGCAAGTTGCAGTTGAAATTCGCTCTCGAATTGCTAATGTATTTAAATATCGAACTGTCTTCACAACACCAATATAAGCTGTATCGGCACGTTCTAAAAATGATCGTGGTACGTAGACGCGACACATTGATTTCAAATGAGCCTAAATATAAATGTAGCTATTTAATTTTCTCTAAGACTATATCGATTGGCAAGAACATCGGTCAATATATTTTGATTACTCACATAGATCTCTAATGTTTTACTATATTGTTCCATACAAGTATAAATTGAACTTTGCACGGCTCGAACCGAATGTGTATCATAAACAATAGCTCGTACAGGCGCTGGACTAGGTGGCCAAAATGGCTCAGTTTTACATTTTCCTTTAGTGACCATTCGAATACACCATTGCCTTTTATTTTCTCGTAAAATCAAATCAATTTCTATCCAAACTGAATCTGAATAACGGCATGGTATAGTTAATTCATCTTGTATAATATTCAATCGATGCAAATTAACAAGATGATTTGCAAATAGAAGAAGAACATCATCACTCAACGAATGCGAACTAATTGATAATGAATATAGATTTGAAAATAATCCAACTGTATACAATGGTATGATGTGCGATGTATAATTGAGTATTTCAAGGTGTTCAAGTGTTTCACAGGAATTTTCAAGAAGTTCATCGAGACATGAACCTATATCAGAATTTGATTCGAGTAGAAGATTATTTAAATAGAAACGTTTTAAACAACGAATAGATGATATAAAACGACGTAACGTTTCTAAGATATTTCCACCGGTACCATAGTAACGTTTTTTACCACGTATAATTGCATTTGGATGTTGATAATAAGCATTGATAATACCTCCTTGATTATTTGTATCATCTTCAATCGAAACTAATACATGAAATGTAAATGAAAATTCTTCGAGATACGAAAATGGATAATAATCTTGTCTATGGTAATGAATAAAGCTTGATAATACATTAAGAAAATCACACATATTATGATATTCAGGAATAGGTTTTATAATTAACCGTCTCATACATTGACTTTTACGTGATAAATAACGTTGAACACGATAAGAATTAAGGATACGTTCATAACCACGAAATAAATTAAATTTTTTTCGTGTAAATGTAACACCATCAAATACAAATGTATCCCAAACAACAGACGAATAAAATATTTCATTCCTAAGATAGAATAGAATAGAATAAATTTGCAAGATTAAATTGCATTCTACGAATATACCATGATCGACAAACTTGAGAACAATAATAACGCTGAGTAATTGAAACAAGACTGAAAATGTCTTCTAATAGAATAGATGGTAATTCATCCCAACCCATTAGTTTGGCTTAACTAGAAGATTAGAGAGTGAATCTTATTTATTGTTTCATACAGAGAAGAAAAAACGAAAATAAAAGTATACATGGGGGGAAGATGCACAGCAACAAAGAACAATTTCATGCGCACACTTCCTTACTCTCCGAAAGACAAGTGAACACAAAACAAAACAAGAAATAATCTAGAAAAAAAAGATCTGTTCATTTTTGTTTTTGAAACTCACACGTAATATGAATCAAGGAATGATTTGCGAAGATTGCTTTGATAGAATATAATCTTGCTCAGTTGTTAAGACTTTTAAATTATTTTCTCCATCTATTAAAGATGGTATAAGTATTGCTAAATAACCTTCGCCTTGTGCTTTCCGTTGTAGAAGTTCAGGTGTTTTTATAATGTTATCATTTAATTCGACTAAACGTCCTTTTATACTTGCACATATAGTAAAATTCTCATTGTTTTCACATTTTATACGATAAAGTAATTTATTTGGTTGAACATAATCAGCTCCACGCTTTGATTTACCGCTCATTGATTGATTAATATTAGCTAACGATTCAATTGAATTAATAACTAAAGATTTTTCCAAAATCGGATGACGTTCAGAAAGCATTAAAACACAAACACGATTCGAATGAACAAGTACGAGTGTATCATTATTTGTTTCGTTATGAACATTAGTACGATAATATTTCGTATAATATCTTTCGATAACACTTGGATATTTTATGCGTTTAGCGAATGCCATTTTTTCCTATATGATTATGTTATGTGATGATATGATAGACGACGACATATACAGTATTATTTATTTCACCATTATGTATTAAAACTATACGCAGCCTCCAAACGAAAGAGAGGGCGTTATATAACAGTAAGTAGACGTCAGCATCCGTGATGTTGTTTTTAGAGGGAAATAGAATTAACTGAACAAAGTGATCCAGAATATTTATAATCAAACAGATGATTTAAAGTTTAGGATTGATGAAAAAATCATAGAAGCTTGGCGTTCAGGCAAAGAAACCGTAGAACAAATTCTGCAGCGATGAGATCACTCAAACTAGAGAGAAGATATAATAGTAATTGTGCTGCAATGACTAGTTTTGCGTTTTCTTCATATCGTTGTTAAAAATAATTCGACAAGAATATTGCAATGCTACTAGTATTCTGATTGGTTTTGATTCGGCAGAAGTATTTTTAGTTATCACTATATTGTCCACAGTCAGAAAAGTAAAAATTCACTTGAAATTTAATTATTTTCGAAGCCATACTATTGATCGAAAATAGAATTAAATCGAAGCGTTGCGTTTCTTTTGTTGGCAAACACTTCTTTACAGATTCGTTCCAATTGATGGTATCCGATTCGTAGTGAAGAAATAGCATTTTTATGTGCAGTAAACACTAGTAAGGTTTCCTTCTATAAGATACGCGCTTATTCTTCGCCAATGTAGTCAGTCAGCCTGCCGAAAACAACCATAAGCTTAGTATGATAAATTCTACTCATCCGCATTACTTATCTTGTGATAGTAGAGAGCAAAAGCACGTCCGCTTCATCTAATACTTGAAAGTGCTTGTGAAGTCGAGTTCTGGATTTTAGCGTTAATTTATTAGACCTTAAAACTCCTGAAAGAGATTTTTCTGCTGATAAATCTTTTTCATAGATTATTTCACATACGAATGGGCTGCTCTCTATGTTGTGGAAAAAAAGAAGTATCCGATGCTGAACGTAATAGATTATTTGCATTGGATCGATTTACCGATGTTGATATCTATAGTAGAAAAACTTCATTAATCAACGCTTCTGATTTGATGAAACCATTGGTCTCACTTGAACTCGCTCTCGATTTCATCATTCCTAAAATCGATTCTCATTATATAGAAAAGGCGAAAAATAGCTGCCATTTCCCATCAGAACATGGACTCACTCATGATGAATCAGCTGCTATTTATGTTTACACTGTACGACTGGATGAATATTGTGTGTATGATCGACTAAATCAATCATTACGATCTGAGAATCAATCTCAAATCACACCTTGGCTTATGTATCTCACTTTATTGAAATCTGCATTGGATAAGTTACCTAATGTAACAAAACCTATTTGGCGAGGAATGCACGATAGTATCAGGATATTAAAAGAAATGAATCCAGATATTATGTGGTGCACCATGAGTTCCGCTTCAACAACATATACAACTATCCAAGATTATCTGGGGTCAGATGCAGCTCTTCTTAGAATCGACTCTATTACTGGAAAGAATGCAACGGGCTACACCACATCGGTCTTCGATGAAGTTCTGCTTTGGCCTGGAACAAGACTTCATATGGATGGAGCTCCGGTTATGATGGCCGATGGCTCATATGTAGTATGTTTAGTCGAAATGGCAAGTGAGTTTGTCCTACATGTTATTTCCATGATATCTTGATGAACATACGAGGGTAAACAATAATAAAGAAGAGACCTAAGCGTATAGGCTAAAACAAGAGGCATACCCACACCCTGTTCCATTAGCTATTCAATATCTAATCATGTATCCTTGTTTAGATTGCCCTAGTCCACTTTCGTACATAGAAAAACCATTTGAACGAAACTCCACCAAAGCATCCATTAAAAAACACTCACCATTACAATCAACGTTACATTGCTCATCAGTGTTGTCGACCTACTCACTACTACCAATACGTTTGTCAGGAAAACGTCTACCAACAGTATCAAATGAGAAACATTTTTTTTGTCCATTTCCCGGTCATTACTATTCATCAGTATTGCAGTTTTCTATTACTTATAAAAGGAATTGTCTCTATTACATAGTGTACGATATAAATAAACAGTGTTTTTGTCGTAATGTATGATGTCTTTTTACTATGTTATAATCTGTTCTGTAGCACTGTTCTTTTACTATTACCGTATAGGCTACACATCTGGAATGATTCGTGGCTGTCTTTACAGCTATTCGCATTGTGACGTAACCTTACTCTACATTACTTATCTAGAAGGCTTTCAGTCATGTCAAAAAGAAATCCATACAAATTTATCGTGATCACCGCGAAAATCATTGCTATGGCTTCTCCAATCTTAAGCGTTGTTCAATCACCTTGTGATTAGTGACTACTTCATTGTTGCATAATATCGTTGTAGTGATATAAGCAAAATAATTGTTCACAGTTTTTATCATAGTTGTCATCATCATTGTGGTTCTCTCTATAAGAAGCATTCAGTTTTCATACAAGAATCATCGCGTCCTTATTTGACAATATTCGCGTTTCAACGTTAGCAACGCAGCTGAATAGAGTCATCAATGCCGTAATTGTAGCATCACTAAAATCTATTCATTTCTAATATGATTATTGATTAGATCATTAAAATCAAGCAAGTATTTTAACAGCAAACATAATAGTAAATAGAATATTACTAATAACATAAATGAATGTCGAAAATGCAAGAACCTTGAGAAACATTCATCAGTCATGCGTTAATTGGGCCAATCCATTCATATCGGACCTGTAAGTTCGATATATAAAATAGTCGAATAGATATCTTATTGTCAAAATTGCTCATTTTAGGATTATTCAAATATTCATTGAGTGTTCATTGTTTTGTGACCTATAAATCACTAGTAGAACAATGCTCATATAGATGAATAAAAATTTAAATAAACTTCTTGTACAATCATGAAGGCATAATTTTAGTGATTTATTGATAGTGTTTTGTTGAATATTCATCATCAGCTGATGAGCAGCCTGTTAGCGGGAGTGAATGAAATTAAAGTTCGTATTTGCATTCACACTATCTGGTCCACGGACGTACCTAAGAATATGACTGAATTTTGTGTTGATTCTACATTAAAAGACAAAGTTTGGATTCGATAACTGGTACAAGAACTGCTAATAAATTTCTCTTGTCTGGTAGTGACTATAAGCCGGATGTTATCAGACGTAGAAGAGAGTTGATAGTTTCGGAAAGTTTTTAAAACAAATTTGGCAGAAATAGTGTGAACCCGATTTCAGTATTTTTACTTGAACAGATGTCTTGTTTTAGTTTACGCCTGCGGGTGATTTTTAATGAACATAAAAATATCAATTAAAATCACGTCGGTACACACAAGTATAAAAATAAACATAGATGCAGCTATAGCTAACTCAAGCCTTCATTCACACCCAAGTGTGCATTTGTATTTGCCGTATGTTTGATTATATGTGGCACTTCACTATGAAGCCTTAAATAGGGCACATAGTAGAAAAGTAACGGAAGTGCACCGATGATCATCACACAAAGTATAAATGTAGCGGCAGACGTAACGACAACCCCTGGTGTGTATTTTGGAACATTTCTTTTTATCAGTCCTTCGAGAATAAAAACGAAAATACCACCAAGTACATTACTGACAGATAAAAGTAATCCAATTGACCATGTGGCATTTACTGGATAAGTGCATTCAACGGCGTATTCGAATACAACCGGTAGCAGAGGTAATAGAAAAAGACCCATGAATCCGCATGAGATAGCCAAGGGGTAGAACATGGACGATCGAAGAATGACAATGAAAAAAAGAATTGAATTACAAGCTCCAAAACACTTTGAGCATGGTAAGGTAAGCATGTGTTCGATCCATCAGTACACCAGCGAAACCAGAACTTACAAGACCAGTCAGAATAATAATTGTACCGAATGTACTTACATCCACACTAGAATATCCAGATGGTGAAATGAACTGATTGAGCAACGTGGTTATTGTACTGTGAAGAGCTACGTCAATGCTGAAAGAAAACAGGAGGATGAGAAAGTGGTAATTTTTTATGAGAGCAAGAAAATCTTATTTGAATTCTCTTGCTTGCTGCTTCTCAGAGGGCGATGAGGGTGTTGAGGATTTTGATCGATAGAAGATAATTACTACTAATGTGGTCAACGTAACAAAAATACATTCAATTATAAGAATGGGGAGAAACTGATCAGAAGATGGAGGACTGGAAACGATCAATGGCGACAACAGAGAGCCAATACCTAGGTCAATTATGCTGACCATAGAGTAGATAGCAATAGCAAGATCACGTTGTTCACTTCAAACCAACGACTGCAAAATGTAGCAACTACATTGAAAAAGATAGATGCTGACAGACCGGGTAAGAGTTGACCAATCAGAAGTGCCGCATAGCCTTGGTTGAATGTAATGAATGAAAAAGGACGAATCCATGTTCCCATGTTCGTTAGGGACCTATGATCATCACTGCTTGCATCGAAAATTTGTTAAAGGCCCATATTGACAGCACAGTACCAGGTGCATAGAGGAAAAGACAGACTACGGATAGTGAGTTGACTTGTGTTGTTGTAATGGAAAAAATGAGGATGCCTTGGTTTGAATCGAAGAAAATGTTACTGGAAGCATGGCGTTGATAAGTGTAACAAGTACGTAAATCAACAATTGAACCCAGAGAGTATTGTAGACACGATAGGTTTCTGCTTGAGCTTCGACAATATCACTCGTTGTTTTTTTCTCCATTTTCTCGATGACTTTTATTCTCGATCGTGGCAGCCATGTTCGATGCAAAATAAGTGTTTCGCCGCGAATCCCCATCCTTCAGCAGTACAACGAAAACAAATGACTAATCACAACAAAATAATATTTAAATAGCAGGCTATAAAAAGAAGAAAAAGCGCATACAACGAATCATAGTCCACGCCATTTGAATCCGAAAGCATTATTTCTCTTCTATTGCACAGATCTTGATTTTTTGAATTGCAATCTCCATTTAGAGTCGAGTTATGATGACTACGACCACCAACATCAGAATAATAATGCCATAGCGTTGCCATGATTCGCGGCAGAAGGCGGAAAATAGTCAGTGTTTCTTGATGATTTATGATGTGATTGAGAATAAATCACTTGGCTGATAGTGTTAAAACCGTTTAATTTGGTGACGAAAATACCAAATACATTATGTTTGAGAGTTGTATGGTCTTTGCAGCAGACAAATTTTCATTTTTTTCCTCTTAAACAGCTACGCGCAAGCATGCCGAATTTCTGACTCTGCTATCGTTGTGTAAGCACCAAGTTATCGATCATATCTTTGTGTGCATGTTTTGTGAGATGGTGAGCTGAAAGTTGCAAAAGAATATTTATCCATTTAGATGGCGCAGTTTAACGTTTGCTTCGTTCCCATGAATAAAAATAGATGTTCTCCAGTGGTACGTATGAAGTTAGACGACTAAAATTCAGCTATAGACAAAGCAAATGATAAAATAAAGTGGATCATTTTACGTTTATTGTTTATGCATTACGCTTAAAATGCTCAAGTAGTATTTTTGTCTTGCGTTTTGTTCCCCGAAAGTGTGATAGAAACGAAATTGTTTTGTCGAAGAGACCTGAACACTCATTCTCACTCGATTGTGTGTGCGATTGCAGCATCTTTGTGTAAATTATTGTGTTTGAGAGGTACAGAAAAACTTTTACGCTATATGCTTTGCACGTATGGTATACCGCGATTGTTATGGTGAAAGAGGTACGCCAAACACAAACGACTCTCATAAAGTGAAGCGGCAGGAACCAATGAAGTGTTGTACTAGTTTGCTATCTGATCATCGATAGTCGACCCTTTCTGGCTTATTCCTCTTCAATTATGTCACGCATTTTCATCGCATGTGATTCAATCTTATGATTCGCCTCATATGAAAAAAGCTCTTTTCGAAGAAAAACATTCACCTCTCCATCCGATGTAAGTTTAGTCGACTTCTTGCGTAAAAGTTTTCAAACATATATTTCTGAAGATCTCTTCTATTTTTAAAATCAATAATACGATGAGACAGCCAGCTAAAGCTATAGAAGCAGAGGAAAATGATGCTCATCATCGACATCTTGCCTAGACGAAGAAAGACGGTGCGTCAGTAATTAGTCAAAAGTAATTTGATTGTTTTTCAATATTCTTCTGACAATAGTTCAGACCGACGTTGCTTATGTTCTCCGATGTTCATAGAATTTGATTGAGTGTATTCCATATAGCTTTTAGTAGCGTCAGACAACAGCTAATTGATCTCAACCCACGCACTAATATCGAGATAGCTTTTTGTTATACTTTCACGGTGGCAGTTATATTAAACGTTAATCAATGCTTGCTTGTTCATGCTATTTATCTATTAAATTGAAATGCATTCTCATGAACACTCTTTACGTACAACAGAAACGAAACGTTTTTCTCTAAATTCATCAATAAAAATTAACAATATCCATTGTGTTGATAAAAAGTCAAATAAAATTTTCACTCATAATATATTTGTTACTATCAAGTCAGAACTCACAAATATTAAACCTAATAACGAATAAAGGTAAGAATCCAATTGAAGTAGAGCCTTTGCTTGATTAAATTATCCAAAATAAGATAAGGAACAATATTTTGTCTTAGTCAATTTGACATGACTCGCTGCAAACTCGCCTAATGGAATCAGCAAAATAAAACTATTGGAACTTATGGTATATTCTTATAGATCATTTTCAAGTTGAACAGTTATTTGCCATGTACGTACCCACTGATTGATCAGGGATCATCCTTATTTGAAGAATGAACATGGATGCCACGCTAGGTGTGCATCACAAAAAGACTTATTTACAAACGAAATCACATCTCTATTCAATGGATGATTTAGAAAACATGATATATATATCACAGAAATAAAAGTCTTCTGCTACGCATAGAACCTCTGGAGGACGTATATTAATTACAAAATAATTGAGCTAACTCACCAAATAGTTCATCTCCAATATAGCAACACAACAGCAACTAAAGGGGATTAGAGGTATTAAAATATTTAAGCCAAGACAAAAGCGATCAAGGACCATTGGAATTTTCGGAAGTATGAATAGTTAGTGAGGGTAAAGGCCTACCTTGAATTATACACATTCATAAAAATTCATCGTCGTGTGAAATGATAGATACATAAGAGAAAATATGTGGTGTAGTTTAGACATCATGGAAGAAACGACACACCAGCTAAGACACACTGGAAAACGTAAATGCCACGTGGCACGCAGTATTTTTTGTCTAGTACCGCCCCATGATAATAGCCTGTTTGAGTTTTGAATTTTTAGGATTCTTCCAAGTCATTTAAGATCATCATGGTTCCCGATTACTTTTCGAAGTGAGGGGGGCTAAATTTTAGCAGAAACTACAAATAGACTTTCTGCCAGAAATAAAATAAAAAATAGAGTGGAGTGAACTTTCTGGCAGAAATAAATAGAATGGCTAGATTTTTTGACAGCAGTAAAAGGTAGAAATTACAGATTTTCTGGCACGAATAGAAAATGAACAGCGGAGTCACCATTAGAAACGAATAACTGCAGAACGAGAATGTTCATTTAACAATAGAGTGCGTAAATCAACATTTTTACTAGAAAAGAAACAACTTAATTGACGGTACACAGACGTACTGTAATCAAAACTTTTCGAATAACCCAACATATAGGAAACATTTTCGCAGAAACAACTTTTTATTTCTTAAATTTTGTGAGCGGCTGAACCCTCCACAGTCCCACCCCCCTAATCGGAGTCCCTGCTAATTTGACATGTACTATCAGAGTGAAATTTTAAGGATATAGTAAACTGGAGACAGATTTCAATCCATTAAACCATCAAAAACCGTTGTACAGTATAAGAGTATGAAAATTTGTCGTGCTACTGAATTTTCTCCAGGTATTGTTACAGATACAAGAAACATTTGACACTATTTTTGCTCTAAGAATAAAAGACGCTCTTCATGTCGTAATTTAAAATTTCATCGTCAATTAATTAACATGATAAAATTGGAATTTTCACTTTTGTGAATGGGCTAAACAAGCAATGTGCTATATTCTGCAGTAACAATTGCCGTAAGGATGCTCATATGAGCGATACATTTGTCATGACAAGAACTTACCAGTAATTAGAATTTTATTTATCATTTTCCATAAAACTTTTCCTATATCAAGAGTTAAAACAAGTACACGCTCTTGTATCCCATTTTTTTGCATGATAGTGGCCTGCATAGAGCAAGTCGTAGCAGTCTCAGGTCAAGAACGCTTTGGTCAGTGGTGATTCTTATATTTTCGAACATTAAATCGTTTTTAAGTGAAAATCGTATGGAATGAAGTAGATATGCAATAAAAATAAGATAAATGATTTTATTTTCAATTAGATTGAGTGCAGGATAGTCACGTACATACTATAATCAGAAACTTTTCATCTTAATTCAAAATGAATCTATAGATACAATAAAAAATGGGGTCACCATAAAAACTTTTTACAGATAGCGGAAACAATTGCATGCATACGATAGATTTCAACAGCCACTTTGCATTGGGACGTATATCATTGTTAATATCCGTCTACAGTTACCTGCAAAAGTGAAAATGATGAGACAGTAAGTTACATTAAAATCTTTATTTTTTATTTTGCAAAGATACGTACGGGCAAATCTTCTGCTGCATAGTTATGGTCAGACTCCTCTTCCAGTGGTTGTACACCTATCTAAAACAGATTCATTTAATACGTATATTCGAACTACTCAAAATTTGGGGAAAATACAGATAGTAATCATAGATCAAATGTTGAAATTATAATATTTTCTGTGAATTTTGAATACTTTCAGTTTAATATATATAAGAATGCATTTTTTTTCACTGTTGACCATAAATTCAATAAATGTGAACGTAGATGTTACTTTTCTCATTGATTGCAGGCGCATCTTCTACTCATAATTTGAATGGCTCAAGTACATATATTGAGAATTAAAAACTTGATTCCGATTTATTCAGTTGTTTTAAGTTTCTTCGTACAGCAAATTTCACTGAGACAGAAGAAACCATGCGATTGTTTGCTCACTCTTATATTACGAAATTTTAATAATACCTGAGGAAACCTATGGTGATATTTCTGTAACTCCGGGTAAGCATACAGACTAAAACTATTCAAGGCTCAGAGAAAACTTCGCTTGACATCATGTTTCTCTCTTATGGACGACGGCAAAAAACAACAAAATTATTTCCATAAATATATGTAGACACGTGTCGACACAATCATAATAATTGCATGGTCGCCAAAGATATTATCATTTACCTCGGTTGTTGATTCCCCATCATTCCATTCATTGTCATCTCGTATATTTAATTGTGCTTCGTTGAGAAGTCTTTCCTAACATTTTTTTCAACAAAGCTTACATGTATTAAAATGAGAAGAACATGATCTTACGTTTTCATCGATATACAGTTTGATTAAAGGGTAGTACACGTGGTAAAACGTTGTTGCCCTAAAATTAAAGAAGATTATATGAATATGTACTAAAACTCTATCATATCGACCGATATTACTTGTAAGTAATCCATACTATGATCAGAATGTGAATACGACACAGTAGTGGTATGAATAATTCTGTAAGGACTCCTCCTAAATCCGTTGGAATAAAAAATATCAAAGTTTACAAAAAATACATTTGAACCACTCAAGTTTTCATATTCTTTAGCATACCATCAGTAAAGTAAGAACTCTTGAAATAATTGAGAAATGAATGATCGATATAACTGCTTGATGATGAATTGAGATTTTTTAAATATTTCAATATATACAATAAGGATAGATTTAAGTGAAAACCATTAATACAGTTCAGCAAATGATTGAAATTTCTCACTATTAACAATTGCTGGTCATCGGATAATAATACGTTCATTGTATAAATATTTGATTATGAAATTTTAGTTGTATTAAAATAAGAAACGTTTCACGTGCCGCGTGCAATTCTTTGCCGCTTTACAAGCGAGTCGTCATCAAGAAGTCAGCTTTTGTTACTTCTTTTCTTTTTTTTTAAACAGAAAGAATCATTAACTGGGAAAAAAATTCACGACGCCCAAAGACATGCATGGTTCTGATAGTATGTGCTTTATCGTTGTTTTTCGTTCTACTGCTTCATCATTTTATTCGGCTTTCTCATCGATGGCAAGTATCCGATGCATTCACTATTTTCGTTGCCTGATTTCACTTTGTTTCTACTCAAAAATGTTACTGAAGCGGTTTCTTGTATTTCAAATGAACAGTCGATTATTAGTTGTAAAGAGTGATTTGAAAACAGATCAAACTAATACGTATGCGCGTCTTTTCACTATCACTTCCTTATCCGTTCTTACTCGTGGTTGCACAGCAGTTCAGGAAAATGATTTTTTTCCTACTTTTTATTTATCATAAAATAAGGCTCCTAATGTTGATATATTTTTCAATTAAAATTATTATATAAATTCAATATAAATAGTCGAGGGGTGCCCAAGGACTGAGGATTAGGAATTCCTCATCAGTTCCCCCCTACAATTCCTTGCATACTAAAGATAAAAATATGGAATATTCACGATGATTTTTGATTTTACAGTCATTTTCACTTGAAAAATTGTGAGAATCAATGATTTCATGCAAAAATTCTTTTTAAAACAGTAATATCGTAACTTTCGTGAATGGTGGAACTGGGAGGGAACCTATAGTTGATTCCCATTTCCTCTAGGAATTATCACAGCAGCACTGATAATTCCTCGACACATTAGGAATTCCTATTTCTCAGTCCTTGGACACTGCTGACTTAAGGAACTATTTCCACCACTTCCGTTTTGCTGAAATGAAAGAAGCATATTCACTTGAAAAACATACAAAAATCTAGATTTTCTATTAGTTAATAATGGTTGGCAGAAATGACTTTGCTGCAGAACTAACTATTTTATTAATATTTTAAACTGCCAATGAGAAACTATAAAATGAAATGCTAAACAGAGAAATAACACGATAGGCATGATGTCATCGAAAGCATCGAAATAAACAACACATCAAAGAACAATACATGTCACAACACTGGCAAGCCGTAACCACGCCATTCCAATTGCTACTAGTCGTAGCCTTTTCATGATTGATACTTGCTGATGTTCCAGAAGACGAAGGATCCACAGTCGTAACTAAATCATTGAATGATGGTTCCACAGTTGCACTCATGTTTAATGCCTGATTCAATTTTTTGCAGTCAACATTTTCAATAAAATATAAAATGAATCGACTTTCTTCGTTCTAACATAAATAGAAGAAAAAGAACTATTATTTATTTTTCTATGGTCTTGGATAGTTAACTGAGCGAACTAAAGTGCTTGAAAGAAAACCAAATAATAGTGAATGCAAACAAGCACATGAAAGAAAAGTCACAGTGTTCGATTATAAGGAAAGGCGTATGATTTAAATAAACCATGAATAAATGATCAAAACAATTTTTTGTTGTCGCTCTTGATCTATGGCACGATCGTAAATATTGTTTTTTCTCTAATGTTTTCAACTGGTTCATTAGAGGCTTTCAATATATAATGCAAGATGAATATAAAAGAGCGCTTTTTCTAAAAATAGAATGGCACAGTAAAATGAGAACCAATGGGGGAGCTTTACACGGTCGTATTTCTGATATATTTCAAATTATAGTACGACTAGTAGTAGAAAACTGTTGTAGTACGATTGAGAATCTCTGTGTTCACCTTTGTGGTTGTTTTTTAGTATGAATCTAATGTTTTATTAGCACTGAGATAATCAAATTTTCCTCATGGCGATAGACAGAGCTAGTATCATTTATGGATCAATTCGATCTTGTGCTATTTCATTGTGGTCTACCTTTATTTAATAGTCTAAATCTTGTACATAACTATGTATATGGCTGAGACTCGTGTATAGCTCAATTAAACTCAACTGCAGCCTCACATTTGATATTGCGACAAAATTTGTTACCGATTTTACGCAAAAACACAAGTTGTGAAAGTTCAACATAAAAAATTTCGTAGTTTTTTCCTTTGTACACGTTGACTACTTGATAGTATCATTAATCGTACTTGGATAGTGATATTTATATTAGACCGACTTTTCTACCAGTTTGATTGCTGCGGTGTTGACACGACGCTATCAGATCTGCTTCAACGATATTCATAGCAATCTCAATGAAGAAATCACAATTCTTAGCTAATAGTTGCAAAGTCAGTTAAATTTCTTTCGTTTGTACGAGAATACATCCTATTCCGCAATGTTGAACATTCCGGAACCAGTTCCTCTCACGGAACCAATTCCATCTAATCCCCGGAATTCCGTTTATCCCTTCCGATTAAATTCCGGCATTCAAACGGATTCCACCTAATTCCCAACGGTTCCGGAATTCAGTGCACTTACACTAACATTCACATCCACACCCGTGTAATTCCTCGGAATTACCAGTGACTCCGCTTTCACCTAATTCCGGAATTGGACTGAATTCCGTGGAATTTTGGGAATCGGACGAACTAATTCCGGAATCGGACAGTGTTCATATTTGACCTAATTCCGGAATCGACGGAACTGATTCCGGAATGTTCATCATTTGCGGAATAGGATGACTGCTCGAGCATTTATTATTAGCTAATGATTAGATCGGCACAGAAATCTTTCAAATATAGATATCAATCAGCTGTTGCGTATTAAAATATATCTCTTGAACAAGATAATTATAATGAAAATCTGGATATTTTACTCAAAAAGGATTTAATTGAAATGAAAAAATCATTTGAATTATTAAATTATTAATTGTACAGCAAGTTTGATATATTTTCTGCGATATGGAAACACCAAAAATAACATGATATTAGCATTTAAATTTTATAAAGACAACTTCAAAATTAAAATAAAAGTATTTATTAAATAAAATATTTTGGAAAAATTTCATCACCGACGGCTATAAAATTTAAAAACCAACGATGAAAAAATATTTTTAATATATGTTTTAGAAAATAACTCATAGACTCACACATGATGAAAACTGTATTGAATACATTTTACAAATGAATTTACATATTCATTGTGTATTATTCTAAAACAACGGTAAAATTCCTCGTCCAGAAACTGAAGACAAGACGAAGTTTTTGCAGTTTCGATAGATTATTGTACAAATTTATAATTGAATCAATTATCATGTACTATTTTGTCAGTTTTTCAACAACGTTAATTAATATTCAGGTTTTTGATGCTGTTAAAAATATTTTTATCAATAGAGTAGAACCCGAAAACTCATAATATGCATTTTCTCGGTAGTTGTATATTCTCGCACCTCTTATTTTTTTCATTTGTCTCTTCTCTCTTGTCTTTGTATAGTTTGTGTATTAGGATAAATTGAACACAATTTTTTCTTACAGTAAGTTAAAGAATGTGCTGAGCAGAGTTTTTTTTTCTTCGTTACTCGTAACCCATTGACAATAGAGTCACATAGGGGATATCGGCTTAGTATTAGAATTAGGAATCTTTTTTTTTTATAATTTTGTAGTCGTGCTACAAAAAAAAATACTAATACAAAATCATTCAAAATAGTCATAATTAATGTAATGCTAAGCCGCCACCTCTGGAATTACATCAAGTGTGAATCTGATTAACGATAAAATATAAACATAATAAAGTCAAAACAAATGTAAATTGATCATTATACTCCTGTCTCATTTTGTGCTTTAACTATTGACTTGATGCATTTTCTAACGGATTGTAATTATCGAAATTTACCAAAAAAACTGGTGTAGATCATATAAATATGAGTGACATTGATTCTTTCGAACATAGTCCGTAAGGCAAATCATCATAAATTAACTTCTTATTCTCAAGCCATTCAATAAACCGGATCTGTGCGCATTCAATCAAAAAATCAATTAGATATTGCCGATGCGTTTTCCAGAAATTGATTTTTGTCTCGTTATACTTGATTAGAGATTAAGAAAGTTTTGACGATAATGAATATTTAGAAAATACGTTGTTCTATATGTGTCTTTCCGAGACATCGTTGTCTGAAAATTGTAGAAGATTTTTTAGCCATATCACTGTGAGTTGATAAAAAAAATAATAATAGGTAGAGCTGAAAAGAGCCCGACGACGAGTACATAATGAAAAAAAATGTGCACATCTCGCTATTCAGGATTTTACATATATTCATGTTCACAATAAAAGCGGCACATACAGGCAGATGTGATAACCGTGCATTGGAAAATAAACAGTAGTATCATATGTGGTCGACAAACTAAACAAGGTTTGAAATCATTATAAAACTGTCAAACAGAAAGAATATTGACTTGTTTATGAATGATATAGTAGCATCTCTGAACCCCTACACCGTGAAAGAATACAATGGAGACAAAAGTGTTCTCATTCATATTCGTATTTTTTTTATAGAATATTGCATTGATGCAAAATAACTTTGTAACAGGGTAGAAAAAAAAGAAGCATGACGTACTTCCTCTCAACACTCTAGATCGATCCGTGTGACTTATTTTTCATTTCTAACTAAGTAGTCTGTCTTTGCCTTTGAACAGCTTCTGAACGTTCTTGTGTTTACATGTCTTGTCTTGATGAATTCAAAGAAGATTGGAGCTACGATGATCCATCGAACTGGCACGAGCGATTTCCATCTGCAAGAGGTAACTTTCAGTCGCCTATCAATATCAAATTGAGCCAAAGTGTTATTCAAAATTATCCGCCATTTACATTATCTCCCAAGTGTAAAAATCGATATTTATATACACTGAAAAATGATGATCACAAGCTTACGGTTACATTAGCTAAAGAAAATAAAAATAAAAATCAAGGAGATCTATGGGTTAGAGGTGGTGGTTTAACGGGTACGTTCCATTTCGTTAATTTTCATTTACATTGGGGAGGTCATGATACGCACGGTTCCGAACATGAACTTAGTGGATGTCGATTTCCTGCCGAAGCCCATTTCATTTTTAAGAATTTAGAAAATCAAGAAATGACAATATTTGCATTTTTTTTGAATATAAGTGGCCGATTTGACGACGAAAATACGGAATGGAAAAAATATGCTGATGCTACAAGCCTTTTAAAAAATAATGGCGACAAATATAACTGTATATTTTATTTAAGTACTCTTATGCCGATTGAAGGTAATAAATTTTTTCGTTACATTGGTAGTTTAACAACACCTCCATGCACGGAAGGAATTATTTGGACTATATTTTATAATGTAATACCCATTACAGAGCACAGTTTGAATTTACTTCGAAATAATGTTATGCGAGAATCTTGTAGACCAATACAATCAATCAACGATCGAATTATTTATCGAAATTTTGACAGATGAAACATACGTTGAATATCGAATTGACACAGAATTTCAAAAACTAATAATAAAATATCTTAATCGAATATGTATCTCGTCGTAACATTAAATTAACTCAAATTAAATGTTGTCTTGTATTTATTTTCAGTAATAGAATAAACGCTATTAGTTTAATACTATTGAAAATATGACTTCCGAATTGCTGAATCAATATAGCTAATTATTAGTAAAGATAGAGATCGTCATTTTTTATTCTTTGCATCTAGATTATTACGATATTCGTAAAATTAATTTTTATTCAGTCTTAAATAGATTAATAAAGAATTCTATACAAATATACCAACATTCAGATTGTGAAAGAAAAACTATTTTTTGAGTCGATGTCAAAAACAGTATTTTGTTAGGTTCTTAATGATTAACTTTGGACAAGTTCATTTTTTCTATCTTTTAATGACAAAAAAATTAGATTACTCTAGCTGAAACTGTCGCCTTTCTAAGGAATGTTGTGTTGTCGCCTCGAGTATTTCTTGTCAATGTTCCTTTCGAATAGTGCATTTGCTTTCTAATCTTTGTCTGTGGATGCGCAATGCAATTAGCAAAAGGTGCTTCATGAAAATTTCTATGGAGTGTAGCCGGAAAAATGCACACATGGATTTTTATCAAATCAAATAAGTGACTAGATTAGATTCTATACCAACAATTAGGAGTGCCAATTTACAGTTTATTTTAGTTAAATTTAAATGTGACACCCCTAATACAAATACATTTTAAAGACCTTTTCGAAATCATTTGCCCAGTACACTTACTGTACCGAAAGAACAAATCACAGCTCGTTTGTTGAATTCTTACTTCTGAAAGAGAAAATAACGTGATGACAAAAAAAAAATTATTTAAATGGTAGTCCACGTGGAGAGCAATAGCTTTATACACAAGGTTACCAAATCTCCTGATTTTTGAACTTTTCCCCTGACAAAAAATCTCCTGATTTCAGGAGCTGATTTTTATTATTTCTCCTGATTTTTTTATATGACGATTAACGACATTTTGAGCCTGTAGTGGTTTTAAAGAGAAAAAACAAATCTATGAAATGGAAGCGTTAAACAGATATAGTAACCAATAAGGAAATATATTTCCTTTAGTTTTTGTTGAATCAAAATTGATTTTCAATTAAATAAACTATTTTATAGCATTTTCTTCTAGAAATCGATATAGTAATCACAGAAATATCTTTATTTTAAATGTTTTCTCCACCACTAGCTGATATTATTGAAATATCACATTCATTAGATGACGATTTTTCCTTACAAGTCGATCCATTCACTGTAAAAGCAAGTGTTACTATGACACCAAAAACTACCACAGCTGCAACATCTACCAATTAATCATCATCATCAATAACAAGAACAACAACAAATAAACGTTATTGTTCAAAATTTAAAAAAGAGTGGTTATCTAATTCGAGTTTTTCTACGTTTTTACGAGAATGTAAAACGGATCCTACAAAATCTTTTTGTGTTGTGTGTAACATACAATTTTCCATTCAAAACAGTGGAGTTGGTGATATTAACAGTCATAAAAAAAATTGAAAAAACATCTAGAGTATTTGAAATCAGCTGAATCTAATCGATGTAAGATTTATCCCGATTAATTTTACTAATAAAAGTACTTGTGAATTTTTTTCAGCAAAATCTATTTCTGAAACATTTCATATGGCCATATCGGAACTTAATAAATTGCGTGCTTCAGAAGGCACTATGGTTTCTCATGCTGTTAAGCACTCTCACAGCTATATTTCATCAGCATTATATTTAGAATTTTAATTCGCCTACAAGAAAAGTTTTGAGCATTAGTCTCATTAGGAACACAGTCAATGTGTCTATTAGTAAAAAGTGGGTTGCTGTGAGATAAAAACCATCAAATGACTGTTAAATATCAACAGAAAATACTCCTGACTTTTCTCCTGATTTTTTACAAAAACTCCCGATTTTGAAAATTTGAATTTGGTAACCCTGTGTATACAATTAAATGTCTTTAGAATTTAGTCAATAATTTGATTTTTATCAAGTTTTATACGACTTGTGAAATTAAAATGTCTTCGAGAGGGAGGGAACAAGAATACTTGACCTTACGATTTTGAAAATAAATTATATCATCAATAAGTAAAATATCAATGATTGTTTGTTTAATGAATGTGTTTGTTTAATAAATCGATCAACGGTTTCAATGTGTTCTTCTATGTTCGCCGTTGATTATACATTGTATCACATAATATTGATTGCCAGCCGTATTTTAAACATTGGAAATTGAACGAAAGAAAAATGTGACCTTTTTAGCTTTTCTTTCTCTCTTTTTCTTCTTCTTCTTTTTTTTTTAAAGAAATCTGTCTATCGAGCAAAGTCGATCAAGATCAATAGATCGGTTGATTTCTTTGAATAGGGATTATCCGTTTCGTCTTCTTTCTTTCATTTTTTGTTACTATCGTTTGACATTCTTTATCTAACATTGTTTCATCTAACAACAAAACACCTCAACGATGAAAATATGCAACTGCTGAACCATCATAAACGACCCTGTGATTGTAAGCATGTATTGTCTCACGTTTAGTTAATATTTGAGAAATAGAATAGTAGCTTACTTGAGAAATCATCGAGATCATTTATAATTTTTTCACCTACATTGAAAATGATGTTCAGAGAAATCTTCCTTCTTTTTGGTAAGACAACTTGCATAGAATTAATCAATATAGGTGCTTGTAGATATTAGTATAGATAAAAGCTTATTCTATTATTTTAGCTATTAGCTTTGGCTATGCTATTATTATCCTAACTAGTTTTGTTTTCAAAACAACATATGCTGAATACGATTGTTCAGCAAAAGATGACGGCTGGTATTATGATCCAGAATTTTGCCATATGTATTGGCGTTGCATTCATGGCTCATCAGAAGAATTTGAATGCGCTAGTGGGACAGCTTGGGATCATCATGAGAATCGTTGTAATTGGCTTGATACTGTAGATTGTTCACGTACTGAAAAGACAACATCAAAAATAAAGTCGAACGATGACGACGATGAACAAGACGATGATAATGAAGAAAACGATGATGCACCTGTCATCTCTGCTAGTAAATCAAAACGAGCGAGAAAAGGATCGAAAAAATTGAATGGTGGCACCGATGAAGACAGCGATCGTGAGGATTCATATCAGTGCATGAATGCTTGTTGATCTATTAGATGAAGTCATTTTCTTGTTCTTCTTGTTCTTCTTGTTCTTCTCTTCATAAATGATCAATTGAATGAACTTCTCTTCCAGTCTTGTATTTAACTGTTTGTCAAGCAAATTCATCAGCTGAATTATTTTGTTCTGGCCGTGATGGATTTTTTGCGTAAGAAATTTCTTCTTCTTCGACGATATGCATGTAAATGTTGTTTTTTTTCGCCCTTCTTCATGTCAGTGATCCTGATTATTGCACGAGATATTATCGATGTGCGCATGGCGTTGATCAAGGATTTGAATGTCCAAAACGTACTGCATGGGACGAAGAAACAAAATCGTGCGCATGGATTGATCAGGTGAACTGTGATCAAAAGAAAGTCGACTATTCGACAAGTACCACTACCGAAGGCATGAAATTCTTTGAAATCATATAAATTTGTTTTCTTTTTAAATATCCATTCATAGGTTTTGTTTGTTTTTTTTTCTCGTTTATTAGATACAACAACATCACATAAAAAATCCAACACAGACTCTGTACTATCTGAACCAAGTGTAAGTGTAATCATCGCACCAACACACGGAAAAGATAGTAGCGGTGGCGGCATATCAGCCATTGATTGTCAATCAACTGGAACGTATACTGTTGCTGATCCAGCTGAATGTAATGCTTATTTTCAATGTGATAAAGGTATACGAACACGACTCAATTGCCCAGAAAGACAATTATTTGATGCTGATAAACGTCTTTGTATGGAATATGAACGAGTCTTTTGTGGAGCACGAGCTGCTAATTTAGCTGATAAAAATCAATGTAAGTTTGAATAAAGAAGTCCGAAAAGCAAACAGGAAGAAAGATTCTACTTGTTTAATCGTCATTGTAGGTATCAGTAAACGTGATGGTATTCATCCGGATGTAGAACGTGACTGTCATTATTATTATCAATGCGTATCAAAAAATAAGATGCGCGAAGCTAAATGTCCAGGTGACCAAAAATTTAGTAGTTTTACAGGAAAATGTGGTTCAGCAAGTAGTGCTCCGATGCCATGCGGTACTTATATTCCAGGAAGTGCAGCAATGCAATGTATGTGATGTCTTTTTTTTAATTTAATTTAACTGCTACGTTATTTTTGTTTTATTTCTCTAGTTAATCGAAATATTGGATTCTTGATCTCAGCTGTTGTAACAACGATTCTCTTCATTGGTTTTGATTTATAATCAAATGAACAATTTCCTTTTTTTTCGCAATTTTTTTTCTACTCCTATTTTATGTGCCTAATCGTTGCTGTAGTTTATGTTTTATTGTTTAGTAAAGAGATCAGAATATAAAAATTCATATTTATATTTGATAGTACGATACACGAGAAGAAAAAATTGATTCGAAACTTTAGCTTCGCTTGTCGTAACCGTATATGAAAAGATTTGATTTAAAAATAAAAATTTTCATATGCCAACGAACCCAAATAGATAATGTTTAATTGATGTATTATTTCTAGCAAAAACCAGCGCATATTCTAACTACAGATGTCTCTCAAACAATTGATGGCCCTTTAATCCTATCGACCTCCGACACTGTTTGATTCTGTATGACGATTACGAAGATAAAAAAAAAGTGAATTAGATTAGGCCAAAGAAGCAAAATCATGCCGTGCACTTTAAGATAAGGTGATCATTTTTATATTTCGGCTATGTTATAACAACGAAAGAACTCTGTTAAATACGAGGGGAGCTCCCTCCGATTTTTGTTACTATGATACTAGGCTGGCCAAGATGCAAGGAAATTTTTCTCTTCGAAATACTTGCACCCCCCCCCCACCCCCTCATACTATAAATGATTCAGTACGTCCCTGATTAAATAGTAGTTATGAAATGTAAGTTTCTATTTAACCTTTTCAATTTCCTGCCTTTTTTCTTCTTGAGCGCATACATATTTGATCGTTTATCTAGAATCTTCTATTACGTCAGTATAATTAATCCTTTACATTCGTTCGTTGTATTCACGATATTTATATATATATATATATATGCATATATAAATAGATTTTCTTATTCTTTATTTTTATTTGTTACGTCGGATAAAACAAGCCGTATAGGTAGATAGATGAACGAAGAAAAAACAAAATTAAACCTCAAATAAATAGAGTTGATCTAATACAGAGAGTTTGGTGTGCTGTATGTATTACGTGTATATATGTCCAATTAATCGATGCTCACCTCTGTCTTAGCGGAGAAAAAAAGAAGAAACAAAGCTTGTCGACAAACGAAGAAAACAAAATTTTTTTATTGTATCATTGTAACAAGTGAATTTGTTTTCGCCAATGAATATTTAAAGAATGGATAAGATATGGATAGTCAATGCTGGTGGTACTTTATAGTTTATTTAATCAATATTTTTTTAAATTCAATTGAAACACGTTATCTATTTACTACAACCAAACAACAAAATGAATCAACGAACAAAAACCAAATATCAACGAAATCGATCTATAACATCTTGCAATATCAATCGACTATGCCATCACTTTTGGCAGAGAATTCAACTGAAATTCGTTCGAACAACATCATTCAATCATTTGTAACAAGACCGAATTCTTATCTTTATAATCTTGAAACAGACGATGAAATGTTATTAAGTCGTGCTAAACGAGATAATGTTCCGTTTGTTTGTAAAAGTAAAACAAAATTCAAATCTTATCTATATAATATTCTCACAAAAAAAACCATTTTAGTTGATGGCTACTTTCCAGATCGATCAAATTGTCGAATATATCATATTTGCACATCAGGCGTTGATACAGCGGCTGTTTGTGCAGAAGGTACCGCATGGGATCCCGTTAAGAAAAATTGTGGATGGGAAAATACGGTCGAATGTAAAAAAGGACTTCGAAAATGGGATCAAATAACAGATATTCGAGGAGGTGAAGAAAAAAAAATGAGATTTATAGAATTACAGGTTGAATTTTTACAGCTTGTGATTTTTTTTCTCTTCTTAGTTACTCTGTTTGCAACTGATGCAGCACTTGCTTGGCGAATAAAAAAGAAATCCACAACAACGCATGCGCCCATTAAAGTAGATTCGAATTTTACATGTGAATATGATGCTGAAGGATATTTTCCGGGTATTTTGATTTTAAACGTGTATTTTATTTCTCTATTTAAATGAGATTCTTTTTTAGATCCAAAATATTGTCATATTTATCATTTTTGTGCCATTGGTGCGCATCAAGTACAACAATGTCTAAACAATCTTTGGTATTCATCCGAGACGCAAGGCTGTGATTGGCCAGAGAAATCCGATTGTTCGTAGTTTTTATTTAGTCTGCGATTTATGTTATGTTTTGATATAGGTAAAGCTGGTCATTTACATACGTCATCAACAGCAGCAACAAATATGATTGATGGCGATGGAAATATAGTTACAACGCCAAGAAATTTTCGACTAAATGTTTATTTGCCTATTGAATGTCCACCAAGTGTTCAAAAATACTTTCCCGATCCATACGACTGTTCAGCTTATCATTATTGTAGCGGTAGGCTTTTTGAGACATAAAAATTCTCACTTTTTAAAATTCATTCGCTCTTTGTTTTTGGCTACAGGTGGTGTTGATAAACCATCATATTGTGATGCTGGTCTCTTCTATGATAAAAGTAGGTGTTCTGGTGAAAGAAAGTTGTATATGAATTCTCGCTGAAATTTTCATTTTGAGACTCGAAACTTTTTAAGAAAACAATCAAAGGTATTACGCATAAAAATCTTCGTTCAAAACAATCTAGAATTCGTTACTACCGACAACTTTTCAATTAGCTTATTTTGTATGAGCAGAAGAAAAATTTTCTTTTTCCTTACTAGAACATGGTTGCCAATGGCCGAAAGATGTTCCTCATTGTAAGTGATTGATCTTTTTTGTTTATTCGACTATTTATGATGTATGTCAAAGGTCAACATAAATGTCCAGCAAATGGTCAACGATTACGTTTTGTAGCTACACATAGTTGTTGTCATTATTACGAGTGTATTAATGGTCATTTAAAAGAACAAGTGTGTCCATTACATAAACTTTATTCGGTTGAAACCAAACGATGTGAAAATTTTCAAATTGTCAGTTGTGGTTCACGAGAAAAATGCATCGATCCTTGTAAGTTTTCGTTTTGTATTTACATTCATCTCTATAACTATTTACATTAGGTGATTATGATAATTCTCCATTATGTGAATTTAAACCTGTTTGTCGAGATAAACCAAATGGTAATTATGTTGATCAATTTCGACCTAATTGCCAATTTCATTATACATGTCTTGAAAGTCGAACATTTAACTATACAGCATGTGAACATGGCCATCGATTTTCTGTTCAACATCAAAAATGTCTACCAGCTAAACAAGTCAGATGTTTCGGAATCAAAAATTATCAATACTCATTTAATCTCGTTTTTTTCTTCTTTTTTATACAAATTATCTATTGATTACATGTAAGAATCTGATTCGAAGAGTGAGAGACAACAAATAAAATAAATGTTTTATCGATTGTGATAAACAAAAACATTTTGTCTTCAAAATTAGAAATGAATTTAGTCATTGGCGATTCGAGCTCAAAATCTTCTATGGTAGCGGATTAAAACCTCGGTCGAAATTTCAATAGAAGTTCTCCATGAAATAAGTAAAATAATAAAATTAGTGGTAACAATACTTTAGTTTCTAGTAAATCGTTTCGGAAGCATTTTTTTAGTTTTCGAAAAAAATGATCATTCACCAAGTAATATTATCTCAATCGACCCTTGTTAAGAACTATTATTTATAAATAATATTAGGTCGAATTTTCTCTTCTTTAATTCAACGAAATACAATTGAATATGATTAATCGGGACGAGTATTTTGAACGGCTAATGAAATAAGGACGTGATGAGCTTGTTTCTATATGCATTTTTTCTTCTCTTGACTTCACCTTTTGTTTACTTTAATGAGTATAGACGACTAGACATCAGCGGAGACGAGAATTCACATCAGTTAAAGAAAGAATAAATAGGAGAAAAACGTTTATCCTTGTGTTTTCAAGATTCGGCAGTGCACAAAAAAATTATTTTACTATCTCTTGCATATGATGAGGAATATGAATTTGCGGCAAAATCGAATTCATTAAAATCATCTCTATTTGTGACAAAATAAAAACTGTACTGGTATAGCGGTATAAGCATTTTGGATTTGCCGCAAATTCAAATACTCCATGAAGTCATCTCTTGAATATTACATACACAATTTCTATCCTTCTTAATCGAATGATTAATGACCTATTATGTAAAACAGATCGTCGACGTTCGAAGACTGACCGATGAAGAGAAAAATACGTTTTGTGAGTTTATAAGACCATGTCGATGCTTGATAGATTTATCATTTTACAAAGCCAATCAGTAGGCAATATTGTTTCACGATTGTTAAACGTTGATCTGACCGAAATACGACTTTTTTTTATTGATTGTTTCACTGCACGTTACTCCAACAGTAAGGTCATTACGTTTTTGCTTTACCATATAGTTATAAACAGAATAAACTGTTATTTCTTGTTCTAAAAGTTGACGAAAGCCAGTTTTCGGCAATGCTCCAAGCAATTGATCTCATGATATTCTAAATAGAATCAATTTTTCATAGCCACTTCACGGTGTGAATTCATTATGCCACAAAAGCATACGCTGATCGACATAAAATTTTCGGTATCAAAGTCGAAGTCGAGAAAACTCAACTTGGCAGGGCTCTGTTCTGATCAATGTGAAATTTGATAAAAAAAATTACAAATTTCTTCTATAATAAATTGAGCGTCAATCAACCTTATTTAAATAGAGAGAAACACAAATCCTACTCCTCATTGATGCATGGGTAAAAAATAACTTTACTCCCTCTAATTCGTAAAATTCTTTATTGTGTTGGTACAACACGATTTTTGCTTGTCCATAATTCAGGTAAACAAAATAAACACATACATGGCATTAAAAGTTGAACAAAATATGGGGAATAATGAAAATAATACAATGTCATTTTATCGAGAAATTCCGGAATAAAAAAAAGTCGTATAACTGATATTAAAGTAAATGAAATCCAAAATATTGAATAAAGACTTGATATTGATATTAACTGCAGCGTCATTTTACGTGTTGCTTGCCACTTAATTGTTCGTTTCATTTTTTTAAATTGAATTAAAATCCGAATCAGTAAAGTTATACTTCCGAATTCTATAATTAATGATGGTAATAATATATTTGTTATCCAATCGAATGTTGACAACCATGTTATTTTATGAAAACAAATCGAACGGCATAAATGCGACGAATAATCAAAATTATTTTCACATGGATAAATAGTAACACATAGAAAATAAAATAAAGGTACATAAACAAAACTAATTACTAATGGAATATAATGCCATTTTAATTTTCCGATTGATGTTAAAACAAGATACGAATGAAATATAAGTATATGACGCTCAATAGAAGTCCATGCCATGAGAAATAAATCTATGGCTTTAAGTGAATAATTATACCAAATCCAAAATAGACAAAAACGTTCATCTTCAGGTTTAACATGACCCGAACTATGATATTGAAGTGTGATTGGCAATTCAGTGGTCAATGCAATAAATGAAACAACGAGTAAGGCTAGAATCGAATGATTATTTATACGAGAACGAATTTCATATGAATGATAGAATTTATAGAAAATATAAATTGATATCGATACTGATGGCAATTCAATTGAAATAAATAAATAGAATTTTATATGACGAACGATTGGTGGTTCCGATGATCCGGTCGTTTCATTCATTTGATTTTTACAGGTTCTTTAAAATCAAATATATATATGTTCTTTACCATAAGAACCCTTTTTCTTAGCGTTTTACCCAATAATTCTTTTGCGTTCCAGGTAATTTGATGCCTTGTTTTCTTCTTCATATAATTAAAAGTTCTACGTGATGATTTACTACATTCGAAAAGAAATTCTATAACTTTTCATGTAATGCAAATAGACTATTGATGTAACAAAGTTAACAAGCTAATTAGAATTATTTCTTATAAGTAGGACTATAACAGTTCGCACTTCAGTTCAGTTCAAACGAACTGTTCGAACAGTTCAGCTCAGTTCAGTTCAAACGAACTGTTTTTAACAGTGCAGTTCAGTTCAAACGAGCTGTTCGAACAGTTCTTTTGAACTGAACTATTTCCGAACTGTTATAGTCCTACTTATAAGTATAACAAGAACTTGTCGAAAACATCCTTTGAAGTTATACTATTATTTTTAAGAAAAGTGAATAATAGAAATTCTTTGTAAAGTTAATCCAAAAAATTGAAAAGAAACTTCTCTTCAATGTTTTCTATGAGAATCTACAAACACGACCGATAACGGAATACATTTGTAAAGAAGAATCTGTTGTATCGAATGAAAACTGGCGAAATCCTTTTATCTTCAATCAAAATTTTTATTAGTTATTAATAGGATCTGATTTAAACTATTATCGCTGACAATTATTCTAAAATTTTGTGCACTAAAATATATTTGATCCACTGCTACCACGAGTTTTATAATCAACAAGACATTACAAGTGTCTCACATTTGTTCTTGGCTCATTTTACTTCTTCGTTTCATGCCTAATTAAACTTTGTTTTCGGTATCATGATAATATTTTTTTTCCGACTATGCAAAATAGTATTTATACCAGAGTTGGAACTGGTGAATAAATTTTCTAACCAGTCCGGTCCGGTCGGTTTTCACCGATTTCCAAATATTTGTAAACCGGCGAGTTTCCGCAGCATTTTTAGATTATATAATTGCTTATCAAGACAATATTTTCTTCTGAATGTGCATAGGCACAGGTTATATGTTTCACTTTCTTAGAATGCTTATAGTTTATATTAGAATCTCAAATATGAAAAAGGCAATCTTAAATTTGGAGAATAACCTTTTTCTGTACGAGATAAAGTTCCTTTCCTTCCGCCTAGGTTCGATATTTAATTTTGATTTCTGTTATTACTTAGTTCAAAATTTATACGAAATAGCGCTTTTTTTAAATAAAAATAAACAGTTACGTTAAATACAAGATTAAGAAAAAGATCATTTCACTAGATATTAAATCCACAAGCTAAATGAAACATAAGTATAAGAAAAGATACTATTATGTTTATTTAGGCCATATTTTGTTTAAATAAGCTTCTTTTAGAACGACAAGTGATTATAAGCATTCAGGATTCAACTGAGATCGTTGCTTAGTGACAACTTGGTCCGTTATTGAGAAATGTCGTTCAGATTCAGTAGATGACGCTTGTATAACAAAAACAGATTTTGCTATTTTCGATAGAATGGGTAAAACTTTTTGTTACTCGCGCCAGAAGATTAATGGATTACTATCTTCCGATAATTCATATGATGTTCTTTCATAAATTTGACGTTGACGTTCAATTTCATTGGTGAATGAACTTGCTGAAACTGCGGTTGGCGACGCTGTACCACTTACAGCATGTCATGTATCACATGCCGACATTAAAACGAAGAAATTGGAATCAAATCAAAGAAATAAGATGAAAGCAAGTAAATAATCAATGCGTGACTACATTCTGATTGTTAAAACATTATAAACAGTAACTAAGCAAAGTGAAGCAAACATTGTAATTATCGTCTCCGAAGAAAAACCATTCAAATATTCGAAGTGAATCACTGATTTTATTGATAAGTGAGAAGAAAAAGACAGTTTCAAATAATAGTTTTTGTTAAAATAATGATGTAAAATGAAAGCATTGTTTTTATATTTAAGTAGCTGCACTACCGTTGGCGACAACTGCTGGACACAGCGTTGGACCAAACATCTCAGCTTCATGGCAGAAAGTTCCTCCGCCATCTCGAGTTTCAATTACACAATATGTTCCGTTCTTCTGGCATGGATTATTTGCATCACAATGTGTTGCATAAGCATGGCTCATTTCTTGAGAACAAACAGATCCTCCGTCTAATAATGCCAAACATTTGCAATAGATGCTGCTTGAGCATGGAACGCTATTCGCTGTTGGATCACAAGTACTTGGGTACGGTACAGTGGCCGACACTAAAATAAGCAATAAATTAGCTCATGCAATTGTTTCGTCAACAAAACATACCGATATATAAGCACAAACTATAAAAAATATAGGAAACTATATTAGATACATTGATTAGTAGTTACAAAAATTTACTTACAGTGTCAATGCAATCAAATGAACCTGCATGATTTACCAATAACGCAACAAAATTAAATATCGATACAAGAATTCGAACTAGATTCTAAATGAAACAATTTCTTGATGAAGCTACTATTTATATAAAAAAAACACAATAAAGAAGCCTGCGTAAATATTTTGGTGAGAAATGTATGCATCTTATAGCCGACTGATTGACTGTGAATAAGTTTCAATTTATCGGATGTTTTTTCTATGCCGATAGAAAAATTGAAAATATGAACTATTGCGCAGTTCTTATATTTCGGAATAAATTACACGGGCGATGTTAAGCTCGAGAAAGAAAAACAAGCAAAATAAACACTCAATAAAATTAATAGAATTTGCAGTAACAAATGAGACGTACTTTTTCGTTGTCGAACAATAATAAAATGAAAAAGAGAAACATAAGCACTCAACTACTAGAAACATCGGACGCAAATAAGACGCCATATTGTTTTTCGTCTTCTGTTGATGAATACTACTGTGCACGGCTTGAAAAAAACTGTTCATGAAATTTTAAGATTTAAATGACATTTATAGCAGAGAAATGTGTGTGTGCATGATTAATTGAAAACATTTTCAATACAGTTTTGACGTCAAAAAAAACAAAAGACAAGAGAAAAATTGTTGGTAGTCTAATAAAAAGAAAGCAATACTATGTACACATTAATTATTGCGAAAGCGATGTTTAAAAACATAAGACTTAACTAGAACTATAAGCACTAATTTAGTTAGTTAGATTGGAATAAATCCCAAGAATGTTGAATTTATATTTTACTTTTTTAAAAGACCACTGAAACGAAGATTGAAAATAATTCAATCGTGATATCATTCATACTTCCGTTTAATAAGAATATATTGGTAAAGGATGTCACATACACAAGCGACTAGATCGGTGAAAAAGTTTAACTTCACCTGAGTACGTATGCAAAATTACGGACCTATTTAACTTGAATATAAATTACTTTGTAGAGACGAATAACTTTGATTACTTTGATTTTTAGTGAACTTAACATCTTGAATAAGCGAAACAATTGATTCCAGTTTTTACTGGATGATGTGTGGGTGATCGCTTGCACCCATACCCTCATCATGAATTCTTCATGAAAACTCCTTTTAATTATTTCAAACGATACTACTTATTCGACCCCGAGTGAAAAGTATTTTCCTTGCGAGTAATCTTTCTGTTTTCTATTGTATGCTCCCTTGTATATTGTTTCCAGGCGAATGAATCCGATGCCGAATCCGATCTGATCTTATAAAATCGGACGAGTCGGCAAAGTCACATGGGATTCCGGGTTGAGGAACTTCTAACGTATCCCTAGTCTTGAAAACCTGTGAACAGTCAAATTCGATAGGAATTTCAGGAGTCGGATTTCAACACTAGGGATCCGCGAGTGGGCCCACAACCCGGATTTACTTAGAATCCTGCAAGAACCGATCGAAATTCGAGTAGATCTAGCTATCAGATTGTTCGTTCTGGGTTGGGTGTTCAATCTTTTGTTGACAGGTACAAAGATTAATTCTTAGCAGATATTAAGATGAATTTTCAAATATTTATTTCAGATAATTAAACGATAGCTACAATCGGAGTTATCGTATTTCTAAATGCAATATGGTTTTCTTTCTCACTTATTGCTTATTGTCATTTCGAAAAAAAGTATTCCGACGCTAACATCTACGAGTGCGTTAAAAAGTACACTTTTGAGCAGTTATGCGTACAGTTTTACGGAAAATATCCTATTGATCTTATTATCTATTCAACAAATCTCGTATTCACAAACGTAGCTACACCAGTCATTTCATTGGTCTTCCGTTTATTAATTTATGGCTGGCTAATGGATCCCACGGTGATGAGAGAATCTATCATAGATATTTTCAAAGAAATCAAAACTATAGCCCAAGTTATAGTAACTGCACTTTGGACAACTGGACAAACAGTCATTAAATCAGTCTGGAAACTTTTGTCCGCCATAAAAACAATCTAGTTTACCTTTCTATTGTTACTCTTGATATCAGTGCTAGATTTTATAGATTACTTCAAAAAAAATACTACCTTGGTCGAACGAAACAATCCGTAAACGACAAAAATTACGGCTCGTTAAGGGCACTGACAGGAATACGGTGTTTTATACTGTCCGCGTTATAATCCCATAATGCGACAGAAAGACAGCCGTTTACCGTGAAATACGGCGCATGTATGCCCGCTTACGATAACGTTACGGTGATCAGTTTTGATCGACCCGGGGTAATTCGATTCGCTAAACTTTCGTGAATTTGTTTCCATTCTTTCTTTATCTTGTCATTTTATTGTATTTGACCTAGCATGTACCAAAAATTCTCTTCTTGCTACCAACAGTTCATTTTATATTTGTTATCATGTTTTTATTATAAAAGATTCATAGCATTTATTTTCCTTTTAAACTCAATAGTGCATATATACGATCTGAAACGCAAACTGAATTGGAACAATAGCAAAATAATGATTGTGTAACATCTAAAATACTTTTTTTAAAAATAGCCTTTAGATGTTTGTCTCACTAGAAAACGTATTTAAAAGGGTTTATTAAAGGGTTTATGGCAATTTCACATACGGAAAGAAGGGTGTTTGAAAGGGTTTAGGATAGTTCTAAATACGGTAAAAAGGGTTTATTATACGTTGCACTTTCATCAACCCTTTTTGGATTTATTATTCTACGAATTTTCTTTTACAGTGTGGGAATTTATCGTTTTTACAGCGTTTATTGGATAGCAAATAAATCTCGTTTCAATTGTGGTACACGGTCTGATTCTCCCAACTTTGGTTGAAACAAAAATGTCGAAAGAAAATATGTCGAAAGAAAATATGTCGAAATATATGAATGTCGAAAGATTCCATAGTTGAAGAGTAAATCTAATGGAATTTATGATATCCATCTATTTTTCATAACGATGCCATTGGGAGTCACTCCTAGCCGAGTGATATTCAGTTATATTCTATTATTGGTAGGCTATATTAATTCCGTCCGTTACGGTAAATTAGATAGGACTATTCAATAAGAACTAGTATAAATTTAGTCAGTATACTATAGTGTGCATACATTTACAAAGATGACGTCAGTTAACACATCATCAAGCCGCAACACCCAAAATATTCACTTCATCACCTCAAACAAAGGTCAACCGTTATTGGTAGTAAATGATTACATATATAACTTTAATAAAAAATAAACGTAGTGTAGCATTACAAAAACGAATCGACACATTGCATAAACGGTATAGTGACTATTTAATTAATGCGTCTGATCTTCTTCGTGGCCTCTCTTTCATCGTGGCTAGAGAAAATGATTTACGAAAGAGAAATTATATTAATATTGGTCAATTAACTTACGTTTGGGAAGTTAGCACAAGATTCGAGTTTTTCCAGCCCGGATTCGCCTATATGGTTGTGTTGAATTTCATTTTCGTTGCGTTGGATGCAGAATTTTTCGCTGAATTGAATGGTGTAATTTTAGANCATTCGATGCAGAATTTCATTCTGAAGTCAACACACACATTTCCAGAACCAACACAGCTAAAGCAGCGAATCCTGGCTGAAATTACTTCTACAAGATTTTCAGAAAAAGCAGTAATTCCAGGTAAAGTGCCAGAGTTTGATCGGCAACCCCCTTTAAAAATTACACCATTCAATTCAGCGCAAAATTCTGCATCCAACGCAACGAAAATGAAATTCAACACAACCATATAGGCGAATCCGGGCTGGAAAAACTCGAATCTTGGTGCTAACTTCCCTAACTTAATTAACTTATCGAACACTTTATTTTTTCCGATTCTTCTTTTTTTATTGAATACACATAGCTGACATACTTAGCTTTTTATATCCTCAAAAAATGTCACAAACGATTTTTCTTTATTGTTCATTCGATATATTTACTTTTCGATATATTAGCTATCGACATTTTTACTTTCGACATTTTTACTTTCGACATTTTTATCTTCTACCAAAGTTGGGATTACCACACGATCCAACACAAGAATAGACACAGATTGCGTTCACACGCGTTTTAAAAGATAATTACAAACGCCTTTATCTGCTTTTTTTATCATAACTCGATATCGGAACGCATCAAAACGGCAACATTTGCAACACAAACGCATCTAACTGCGTCTCAAAAGCGTTTTGGGATAACATGGGATCATCGCGTTTCATAATTGCGCTAAATACTAAAAACCAATTTTCCTGAGCTTTTAAAAAGCGCTCAGCTTACTCAATCGATTATGCTGCTTATAGTCACGGGCGTGATAACTCTTAAGACCTTTACGTTGCTAATCTTTTTCTTCCGGCTTCATGGAGAGAAAAATTGAATTTAGTCATTTTTTTCCAAATTTTTTATCTTTGAGGAACTGCATACATACGGTAAATGATAGTCAGCTTTCGTGTGTTATTTGATATAGAATGATTTTTTTCTAATATATTCTGTCACATGACATGATCTTTGTCATATTCTTTTTATATTTAGTAATGTTTGACAATCAAAGTTCGAATAGCACGGGTAGTCCTTTATTTGCCAACACAGAGATATCTATGTCACGCACGGCTCGCTTTTGGATTCTTCTCCTATTAGATGTTCCATCCATCATTTGTACATTGTTCGTTCTCTTCTGTGTCTTTATGGATCGAAAATTACGTTCTAGCGTAAAAAACCATTCTCTTGTTCTATTGCTTATTCTTGGCTTGGGCACTCAATTAATTGATGTTCCTTTGTATCTCAATTTTATCCTACATTCCAGTGTTGTTCCACCGAATCCGTCAACTTGTATCGTGTGGTGGTTTATGAACATTGGTATATACAATGGAGGAGCCATACTTTTGGCCTGGACTGCTTTCGAGCGACACATAATCATATTTCATGATCGATGGATTTCAACAAGAAAGGGACGTATAATAGTGCACTATTTACCACTACTTTTCTTAATTCTGTATATTTTCACTTTCTATATTTATTCATTTTATGGTCTTCCATGCGAAAATACTTACGATTATACATTACCCTACTGTAATGGATCTCCATGTTATCACGCTGATCCGATTATGGGCATGTTCGATTTATTTACTAATTTTATTATGCCAACTTTGTTGGAAGCATTTTTCAGCTTTTCTTTCATATTTCGAGTGGTCTGGCAGAAATATCGTTCTCATTTGCCGATTCAATGGCGCAAGCAGCGAAAGATGACAATTCAGCTTATGTCCCTCACTGCTCTTAATTTGTCTAGCAATGTTCCACTCGGTATTTTCCCCATCGCTTATTTATGCGGTTTACCAAGCGATATTGGATTTGAGGCTTTACAGTATTTCGTTTTTCTTGCTTATTTTGTTACTTTTTCCTTGCCCTTCATCTGTCTTGCATCGATAACTAGCGTGTACAAAAATTTTCGACAGAAAATTCTTCGTCGACGACGAGAAATTACACGTTTCGCAGCGACAGTCAGACCCGACAATTTTGGAATGAGTACGATGGTCCAAATTAAATGAAACGCTTTTTGTAACTTTATTTGTGTTGTTGTATAGAAGAGTTAAAATAAATTATGGATGATTTCGCATGCAGTGAATCATAAAAATATGCTATGAACGCTACAGTCTTGCAAATAAACCGGTCACATGGAAGAGAACACATTATGTGTATGCCACAAAACTATTCATTAATCTCAGATAGATCAATTCGCCTACCAAACTGATAAATAGAAATACTCAAAGTTACTATTTCCAACTGATTACTTGGAGATTTGGCAACAACTAGACTAGATTCACTTTCGTAACATAACGATGTTCAAAGTCTTTCTTTTCGCTAGATATGTGTAGTTTTATATTATAACGATGATACTATTAACCAAGTATGGGCCACATGTCTTACCCTAATTTTTGGTAGTTATACATACGTTTGATATTCCACTACTTTTCCTAAATCAATTCAGTAGTTTTGTATTTCTTTATAAATATGATATTATTCGAAATGGTTTGACTATTGGTAAAAGATACACTTACTGTGAAGTGATTATCCATGAATGTCATTACTCCGTGACCTTGTGGTGAAACATGAACCCGAAGCGTATTGATTGTGTCCAATACAATTCCACATTAGTCTCTACTTTTGATACACAATATTTTTGAGTTAAAATCGAAAAATACATTGAAGTGTCGACTTCCAGAAACTATTTCATAAAAAATATACATACCAATGTCATCTGCAATATTTTGATGTCAGTATCATATCTGATAGTATAAAGGCAAAGAAAAATATTGGTCTTCATAAAATCCCAAGGTAGATCAGTTCGTAAACTATGATAAAACAAGATAAATCGGCATATTAGTGATTTTAATATTAGAGTATAATCGCATAACTTATCAATTCATGTCATGATGAAGGGCTCAGTTGTCTTCATCTCAGGGTCTCAGCTTTTTATTATATTAATTTTGAGAGAATACAGATCGCTTGAGGTAACCAATTGGTTATTTTAGCAGCTATAGTGGCACACTAAAGCGAAACTTATCGAAATGACTCACCACGAAAATATCTGATGATGCCTAAAATTTAGGATATTTTGTTAAATAACAGAGATCCAAAATACATTGATATGCTAGCCAACGTACGTGTACCATGTATATGATATAAAGAGAACGAAATACAAACTATTAGATTGCAAGCTTTCGATTATCCTATACGAAATCCGTGTTCGACAAATTTTTTTCGTTAACTGATTTTATTTCCACATATTTCAGTAGCTAGAATATAAGACAGCAGATAGCGCAATCACTGCGATATTAAAGTGTGAAACACAATTAAACTAACTTTTAGAGGACATCTATCACGATCTATGAGAGTCATAAGACATGGTCTGTAGGTAGGAGGAAGGGAAGTACCATGAGATGGGTGCTAATTTCTAGATCATGTACTTAGGCAGAAACGTGTTTTACAGACTCAAAATGCTTGAAATCTCTCATATAAAATTATTTTATTTAGACATCCAATGTTTTTGATCAACTGGCATAGAGAGAGTCGTTTTCATTTGCAAGATGTGTGCCAATTAGACACACTACGTGCCAACAGATACACGATATTATGCAATCTTGGAAAAGAATTGCAGAAAATAAATTTGGCTTCACTTCCAATATGCATGGTGCTTTTTACATCGTTTTCAATTCACTGGCATCTACATAAATTTATTCTTCGTAGTGGCTTTTATCGTCCGACTGATTTCTTTTTCTTTCGAATTGAGGAATGTTGATCTTTGCGTTATGGCAACTTGCATCAATAAGTTTTGTCACTTTTTAGAAAAAAACGCATTTTGCTCAGTTGTACATAGCCGATCGAGGCACAAATTGCTGTTTCCTATGTTATCTTTAAAGACGAAAAAAATCAACGAAATCAATCTTCTCAAGGCAAAATCATAGAATTGTACTCATACAGCCAACTAAAAGGTACATGACAGCTAATCCAATTAAAAAACAACATCAAGAAACTTGGATGCCAGAGAGTTCGAAAAGTCACAGAAAACCTACTATTCCAGCTAATTGTTTGCTATATTTTATCGTTTTCATCTAATTTTATCACAGCAACACAATTCTGATAATCATCCAAAATAATAGATCAATAACTAATCTGATTTATTCAAAGTTGACTTGGCTCCCCATCGCTACTTCATAACTTTTCCAAAATGAATGCACCGTTATCAGCAGCTGCACATCCATATGAAACGAGATTTTCTATGGAAGAAATTCAACGTAGCATTGCAAGTATTCAAGATGACAAACTTATATTTTTACAAGTTCAGTCAAATGAAATGGGAGACGTCATTGTCGAGAGTATGGGTGAAATATCAGTGGGTCTTCAAAAAATTATTTATTGTATTGAAGAATTTCGAAGTATCGAGCAATGCTGTGTGTATACAAGTGAGATACCAAATACGAGTATTAGACTTTACTTGTCTAATAATCTGGATGAGGGAAGGATGTCATCTCTATCGGCATACTTTTCTCGTTCGTAACAGGCTAGGTGCGCCATCATTTTGTTATTTGACTATTCTACGATGCAATGGAATTGGTGTTAATTCTTCCTTCCTTCTCAAAATGAAAAATATCTAGTCTTTGTTCACACAGATGAAGCTATAAAAGAATAGTTCACCAGTAGGTAAAATGCCGGAGATTTATATACGATTAAAATCTATTTCTTCATAAATAGATATCATGTAATTGAAAACAAAAGATTTGCTTATTATCCTGATCTATTTTCTGCGCTGTTTGACATGGCTTCCTTCGTATTGAATGTTTCTTGAATATGAATAAGGTTACACACTATTGAATGCATAGTCTAAAAACAATGTTTCCTCGTGGATGTTGAGCGAAATTGATCGTTTCTGAATGAAGACGATGCACATCGGGTCAAGTCCCACGATTTATTCATATCCTAATAGGAAGTCTACCTTCATGGTTTTTTTTGCTGTAGAGATACACGACTTTTACTGTTTTTATTTTTCTTGAAATTTTACATAAATGATGATTTCAATCAGAACAATTTATTCTGAGCATAGGCAGCGGAACGTTTTGAATTTAGGGGAGGCTCAATTTTTTTTCAACAAACGATAAAAAGTCGACATTTGGAGAGAAGATAGACTTTTAAAATTCGTTGTCACAACGTTGATTGTAAAATTTTTCTGTATTGATCCATTTATGTGGCTGCAGAACAATCGAAAATTGCGTTCCTAGTCAAGAATCACTTAACGCATCCCCAGAGTCCCCACCAATTTTGGATTTTTTAGAAGGGCCTGTCACGAGTTCCCGAGGAGTTAAGGAAAATTTCTATCGAGACTATCAAAAATCTACGTAAAAATCCGAAAGTGTCTTCGAAAATTTGTAAAAGATATCTAAAAACTGAGTGGAGAGTGTCTTAGAAATTCCAAGAAACTTTCTGTTCACTTCTCGAGATTTATATGGCACTTTCCAGTCATTTCTTAGAAATCCCTTACGAATTTTCGAAGATACTTTCGAATTTTTACGTAGATTTTTGATAGTCTCGATAGAAAGTTTTCAAAATTTTCTTAACTCGTCGAGTACTCACGACATGAGCTGCCTGGGGATTCATTAGGTGATTCTCGACTAGGGACTACACTATCAAAATTTTTATTTCCTTATCAACATAGGCGTAAAAAAATCTTAAACTTTGACTAAAGCAAACATATCATAAGTACAAAAACTATTGTTCATACCCAGTAACGTCTTTTCTCTAGTTCTTTTGCAATACACTCAGAACAAATGTTCTTCATGTCTAACTGATCTAATTAGATCTAGTTCCCCTTAATGAATATGAGAAATAAAGGCATGATTAAAGCGTTGTTGTGTCATTATTGATCGTAGATGTCTTTATTCCGTTTATAACACTGAAGCATCTCTGAGCCGTAGCCGTTGAAGTGAGATTTGTTAACTATAAATGCAATAATTTACATTATTCATGAAACAGATTTCCTAATATATTGTAAGCTAAGTAAATCACGACGAAATCTGTATTCTTTTCAAATATCTGAGCCTCCTCAAGCCTCCCCAATTGGTTTTTATGGGAGGCTTGAGCCTCCCCAAGCCTAATGGCTCCGCCGCCTATGATTCTGAGATACGATGTGTAAATGATAGCAATAAATGGCAAGGTTGAAAATTTTATATTGAATTATCCTCGTTTAATTTTGGTGATTTCGAGCTATACGAATAAAATACAATAATAGAGAAAAAATTATTTTTTAAGGATATGTGTAATTCATAACAATTGAACGTTTTCTGTAAGTCAGAAAAATTCTAGATCAGAAGTCTAGTCCTTGCTAGATATTTTTGAGTGCAACATCAAGATTTACTTTTAATAGTTGTGTTCTGACGGTAAAACATAACTAAAAAATGTAGCCTTAGCAGCTTTTTAATTCAAGTAGTTCTTTCCGATCATCTTTTAATAAATAAAAAATATAGAACATAATTTTATTTGAATCTTAAGATAAAATGATAAGTAAATTCGAAACACTACCAAATGAAATATTATATGATATATTCGGTTATTTATCATGGGATAAAATCTTAACATTATTTTGATTATTAAATAAACGAATTAATGTTCTTATTCATGCAATATTTTCAATGGATAAATATGAAATTAGTTTTGACCAACTAGATTTGTCTTATAGAAAAATTTCATCAATCTTATTACCATTGATCTGCAATTCTTTATCTCTTTCATCTTTAATTAAAAATATTCATTTCGATGGAAGAAATTCAAGTTGCTATAGTGTTATTCATGAATTTCTTTTTTATAATAGTGTTAAGCAAAGCCTTCTCTATCCTAATCTCGAAGCACTTATTATAACTCGATGTTCATTATCTCAATCGTTACTTCAAATATTATCGGTGCTCGTTCAAAAACAATTGAATCAACTTACATTAACATTCGACGAAGAGATATTCGAATCGATTCGAATAAACCAGAAGAACCAGTAAGGATTGTTTCTCTTGAAAGTAAATCGTTTCTGTAGATAGAAAACATATATTTAAAACTTTGAAATTCACGTGAAATAGGAATCGAGGTGGGCAGCATAGTGCTGGCCCGAGTCTCAGCTAGATTAGAACTATGGACACTTTATTCTTAATCACAACTGCTTAAAAAAAAGCGATCGTGTCTCTCCTAAGATTGTTTTAAAGTGCTTGACACGGGTATAAATCAATGAGCTGTTTAGTTTCAATGAATTGTTTACTAAAATCGCGATGATGCCAAACACATATAACATTGATTTGGCTTTCATGAGAAGATAGATTTTATGAATTGTTTCTTATCCATTTCTCATAGTCAATAAAAGCTAAGTAAATAATTGTTTGAGGATTTCGATTACTTTTTTGCTCTCAACATACTACAAAATATTCTGAATCGATTCCAGTTCATATCAAAGTTTCACAAAATGTATGCGGCAACCCGACAGGATCTTTCTGACAAACTCATGTATTAGAGTTTCGTCGTTCATCTGCTTCTATCTTATCGACATTGTTTGCAGGATTTTTAGACTCTGCATATACGAGCTATGATCTTTTGAATAGTAATTACTTTTCTTTGAAAGGGTATCATACCAGTGAAGTATGTTTTAAATAATTCATATGTCAGAATCTGAGATCATAGTTTTCGTTTGTTTTTGATTAGCGGGGGAAGATTTGAAAGAGAAAATCTCCCAAAACTAGAGAGAAACAGGTTTGCATTATTGTTTTTCCGAGACAAAATATATTATTAGCTAGAATTTGTAAGGTTTTCTTATTCAATTCAGAAAATATTTTTTTTGCTGCTTTCTTGTAAATAAATATGTGAAAAAAAGATTAACGAGAAAAAATTTGTTTTTCTAGTCGTAATTTTTTACGTTCATACCTTCTAATTTCAAAGCTTATGTTCTTGGAAAAATTATTTCATGGTTTGCCTATCACTCTTCATCGCTATCGTCATAATTGTTTCGAATGTATATATTGATATTGCGAGCTTTTGCTCTTCCTGGATGCATGAAAAAGTTTTGAACAATATCATCTAAATGAAAATAGTTCGAACTTAAAGAGAAATTAAATTGATATGAAAGAGAATATAAATGATTGCCTTTGGTAGGCTTTATTCAGTCTACAAATGAATTAAAATCATCTACAAAGTCGCAAAGAAAAATTCCAGGGAGGAAGCTATAACGCAAAAATATTTGAGCGGGGGATTTCCCCCCACTTTCCCCGCTCATCGTAAACTATGCCTGAGATCTCCGACAAATTAAGAATTCGATAATTCTGCTACATTTCAATAAAACATTAACATTAGTTTATTAATAATATGATATTTCCTTTTTGTTTCTCCACTAGTCGACGATCTTGTCTTCGTTCTGTCCAGATTCTTGTTTTTCTTGAATATCAGACAAGATTCTTCGTAATCATAATATTCAGGCAAGATTCTTTGCGAAAGGAAAGAAACAAGATTCTTGCCTGTTATTCAAGAAAAACACAATCTTGTCTGATTGATCAGATAAAGAAGAATCAAGCAAGAATTACAAGATATTTCAAATTTCTTGAAATTCAGACAAGTTTCTTTTTTCTTTTCCTTTCAACGATTTGTATCTTATCTTAAAGAAAAATATCGCACGATGTCTTCTGTATATATACTTATACATATACAGAAGTTTGAACATTATATCTTTTTTTTTCTAGCTGATAATGAAGATGACGCTGAAGAACTGTAACCGATGTATTTTTAAAATAGCTTGTTTTGTTCAATTTTTTTTCGTCTTTGCTTCTTTTTTATTTTTTTTACTTATCTTCTTTTGTACGCGATATGAACTTATTGTATATTTCCGTGAAGATGTAATGTACTATTTTTGTATTTTTTTAAATTTGAAATTAAAATTTAATAGGACCGAAAGAAGGCAACCATATGGATGCCCAAATAAAATTCATTTGTATTAGAAGGATTTTGTCAAAATGGCAAGAATTATAAGAAAACAAGAATCTTGCCAGAATCGAAAGAAAACAAGAATCATACCAGAAAAGCAAGAAACAAGAATCATGCAAGAATTGCAAGAAAATAAGAATCAGACAAGAATACAAGAATACAAGAACACAAGAATCTTGCCTGGTGAGACATTTCCTGCCTCCCCAGGTCGTTCCTGCACGGCCGTAAACGGCCGTACACCAATCATTTACGTTGGAAAACGGCATTCGTTTACGGCAGACATATACGACGTTTTACGGCGTATTACGTTAATCGGAATCAATGACCGTAAACGTTCGCCTTTTACGACTACCGTGAAAATACGACGACTATAGACGACGGTCATATACGAAGTTTTACGAGGTATTACGTTAATCGTAAACAGCGAACGTAAACGTTCGACTTTTACAACTACCGTGAAAATACGGTGACAGTAAACAACATTTAGAATATGCGATAACAAGGGGAAACAAACTGATTTCAATAGGCGAAATCAATCGAAATCGCATCAAATCGGACGAAATCATCGAAATCAGTAGAAATCATGGATATCATTGGAAATCATTGGACATCATGGAAATCATCAGAAAACAAAAGGGATTATTTCAAATAGCTAAAAATCATTCCAAATCATTTCAAACGATCTGAAAGGTTTCAAGGAAATTAGCCCGATTTCACATGATTTCTTTGATTTCTGAAACTTTCTATCGATTACCACAAAATCCGGATGATTTTTAATCATTTCTAATTATTTCTACTGAATTCTCATGATTTCTACTGACTTTGATAACTTTGTGGCGCCGTTGAAAATCTTGAGGGTGTGGATGTGGGTGGATCTGGGTAAAACCGCTATTTTCCGTTAATCCACATTCGGACTCCCACACCCACAACCACGCCCTCAAGGTTTATTTTCGTTTTTATTTATTCAATTCAGGGTTAGATTTAAAATGCGAAATCTGAAATCTGATTTATTTTTTATTTCGTGTCGCGCAATCATTCACCTTTTTGTTTCGCTCGAGAACTNATTTTTCCTTCGCTTTTAGTTCTTTAGTTGAGGGATAGATTTAAAAGCCGAAATCAGATTTATCTTCGAGTTCTTGTCGTCGAATCTTGTTTGACCACTTTCCCGATTCAAGTCAAGTAACATGTCCACGTTTCAGTTCGTTTTCCGGTTTTTCCTTAAATCCCTATTTGTGTTCCAGCGAATTCCCACTCTCTCAGAAACCACTTGATTTTCAAGTCGAACCCAGGTGACCAAAAGACTAGTAAAAAGACTAGTCTTTTTTCTAGACAAGTCGGCCGTCCTGTCTAGTCTTTTTCTCAAAATGTCCTAGTACAGGACTAGTCTGAAATCTCGTATAGTCAATAGTGCCCGTCCGGACTATGAAAGTGACTGGAGTCATTCTATTTGTCATGCGTAGTCTTTTTCGAAAAAAAGTCTAGACATGCTGTACCATCCTGACGCCCGTCAAAAATATGATTCTAAATA